TTTACCCCCTCCCCCCCCCCCTTTTTTTTTTTTTTTTTTTTTTTTTTTTTTTTTTTTACTGAATGAGCAAAGCCTTTTTAATTAAAACATGGTTGCAATGAGGACAGCTCACTTTATCATCTGCTTCTTTAAACAGAATCCAGTTGTGCTGTCTAAACTGTGGTATCAGCCAGTTGTTACTAAAACTTCATCAGTGCTTTAATCTTGATGACTCTTCATTCTCACAGGGCTCAAACTGCACCCACTGTATGAACTGCTTTTGCCTTTGAACTGTGAAGTATTAGGGCTACATCTGCTAAAGGGAATGAACTGTAATCCAGTTTTGTGCGAAGGATACATAATATTACATTTATTGCTTTGAGAAAGCTATTCTAGTTCTTTTTTAAATTCAATTGAAAAGCAATTTAAAACAAACAAACAAACAAAAAGGAGTGGCTTTTTGTGATTTGCATTTAAATACTCCTATAGAAAATGTCCAGCAAAGTCTAATGATCAGCTATATACAGAGTAGGACACTTTGTAAGCACTCCCCTATGACTAGACAGGATGTTGCTCTTAGAGAATTGTGATTCACCATCAAAGTAGTCTCTGATGAGATAACAGTTAAGTAATTACATGGTTTGTAATATTTTCTAAAAGTTAACTCTGATATAAAAGGTGTAATCTTTGTCTTCTAGGAAGTTTTCATACAAATGTTTACTTTAGGGAAGATGATATGAATCATGTACAATTATGCAAGACAACAGGCTATTTGGATCACAGGAATAAGTTGTACAGAAAAATCACTGGATAGGAAGAATGGCTAGATGAATGAATGTGTCTTCAACTTTTTTGTATGTAATGTCACGAAAACAAATCTGTGTCAGCATGTTGTATGGTCCTCTGAAAAGCTTTCAAATGTGGCTGTAAGTTCAGAATCCATACAATTAATGGCACTGTATTTCTGACAGCTTGACCACATTCAAGCTCTCCTTGCTGTTATGCTATGCAGGAATTTTTATTTCTATTGACTGGTAGGTAGATGTGCTTTTAGATACTTAGATGCCTATATATTATTCTTACATCAATTAAAAACAAACAGTACAACAGAGGCTTGCTAGACACTTTAACTTTTTTTTAATCAATAAAACACATGGAATAATTTTACAGGAAAAAGAAAATGCTGTGCATAATGTGATTTTCTCAAAAAAAGATGCAAATCCCCTCTTATTCCTGTTAAGTGGTGTGATTACCAACAGTACATTCCGGTTTCCTTGTTCTGGTTTTATTTCTGAATGGCATCATCATCTATACAACAGTTAATTCAAGAAGTTAGAACAATTAGACTATGTGGTATTCGTTAGATGAGTGTGACCCTTAACTCCAGCCTCTCGGTGCCAAGTGAGATGAAAACCCTTGGCTGCAGTTGAAGGTTGATTCCCCTGACTCAAACTCTGCAGAAGAGGAACATTATGCTCAGAATGACTCAGGACAGGATATGTACTAAAGGGCTCAGGTAAGGAGTCAGGATAGGTGGGTTGTGTCTGTAGCAAGGGCTCATTGTACAGACCTAGAGTGACACCGGACAAGTGCTGGAACGTAAGTAGCAGCCCAGGGAGATTGCTCTAATGTAGGTGCTGTTTGCCAAGTCTTCTGAAATTACACATGGGACCAACAAGCTCTAGAACAGCCTCAAATTGAAGCAGAAGTGATGGTTTAAAACTCTTGCTTCTTTCCAGAGAGGTTCTACACTACAGAAATGTAGCTTGTCCGCTCTCTCTAGGTTTAGCTACTTGGTGATGAAGTTAGGAACTAAGCTACTAAGGGGGCCACACTCCCTCTCTCACTTAAGCTCTAGTTATACACCCAATTTACTATTATTATTATTTTTACAGGCTTTTATTTGAAAAAAAAATGTTTAGCTTGTTAGTTATTAGAATTATATTACAGTGCTAATGTGTCTTTTTATAGGAACAAAACAGATTACATGCTGTTCTGGTATCTTTGTGCCTGCTAAATTTCATCGAGATGTTCCTGATGTTTGCAATATTGCTTTCAGTAGGCTCTTCTGTTGTATATAATGAAAAGCAGTAAGATACTGCTCTTGCAGTGCTGTATGGAAAGGCTCTATGGATAAAAATAGTGATTTTACTAATTTATCCTGTTTGAGAATAATGTGCTATAGTGCTATCCCCTTTACATACTTATATTTTAAATACTTATACTATAACTGAAAATCTGGTAACAGGGCAAATGTGAAAAAGGAGTGAGCATAATGACAAAGAGGAAAGCAGTGTGGTTATATGAAGCTTATTACTGTTTTTACAGTGAAAGCAAGTCTAAAAAGAATGAAACACTGATCTCAGATGTGCTTTGCATTGCTAAAATACTTATGTATTGGTGTGTAGTCTTTATCTAGGGAAACATTTCTGTTGACTTGTATTTTTTAAGTTAGGCTGATGCTTTAAAATAAGACATGAAATGTCATCAGAAAAGTAAAAAGCTCTGGTTAAAAGCTTATCATAACTAAAAAGTGAAACACTTAAACAAAATAAAAGTATGCTTCATGAAAATGATGTGTGGCTTGCACAACTTGTGAATAATTTTATGAAGCCAGGAAAAATGACCTCATGGTTAACAAGCTGTCTGAATAATAATAAATATAAGTATTTCCTCTGCTACCACAGACTTTCTATGTGTGCATAGGTGAGTCACAAGTCTTTCATAATTCTGTTCCTTGACAAAACCATAATAAAATAACAGCACTGCTATGCCTTTACAGGGATACTATAAGAAAAAAAAAAAATACAGTTCTGAGGCATTCAGATGATACAAGTTCCATTTAAATCTTTCAAACAAATGGGCAAAATCATACATTTTCTTAAAATAAAACCTGCATCTTACATGGGACTAAACCCACCTCTGTGAATATTAATTTTTCTTCATTGTTCAGCAAGGGATTTTTGCTTTCCTTCAAGGACTATTTAATTCACACGATGAATGAAGCAGGGATTCTCTCCACACCTGCTCTGCATAATTTTTTAAATATTCATTCAAGTCCTCCTTGTGTGCCCAGAACCAGGGGAACTGACCTCGTATCCCTTTGGACCGGATGTGCTTTCAGGCATGCAGACGAGCATGGCAAGCAAGTCCGCTGGCTTGGAGGCTCTCCCAGGCTCTGCAAAGCACAGCCACCCACAGTGTTCCCACGGAGGGCTTTGCCCTCTCCTATGAGTCATCCTGCTACCTTCAGCAGACTCTTGTTATGAAATAACCACCTTTCCCACAGGCACAAGGAGAAATTGCAAACACTTTCAAACTTAATCCTTCTTGCTGCATTCACATAAGTCTCAGCCTTTCCCAATAACGACTCTCTAATTTAGGAACTAAACAGAAGAGACTTGAGAGTGACAGCACCTTTCCAACAATAAAGAACCTTCTAGCACTCTTCCAGAGCTATACTTGCCAGTACGCTCAACCAAATCTATGGACTCTTCTTAAAGAATAAACAGTCTTATAAAATATATTACTGCTTTTAAAGCTATTACTATAAAGTCTGTGCTATGTTAAAGCCTTTTGGAAAACTGCAATGATTTCTTTTTCATTTCAGTGACATCTGTACCAAGAGGAACAAATTATCCTGGCTTCCTTGGCAAGGCAAAGGCTTTTCTGCAAACCAGTACATCTTATAGAACTTATAGTACGTCTCCTCAACATTTTCTGATCTATTGACAATCAATACTGAGTCGTCCTATGCTGAGGAAACATCACACTTTGCCAGTATGCCTCCATTTTCTTCTATTAATTTTGTGTGGCTGCAAGTGACATAGGAAGCTCTCAAAGACAAGGCACAGCCCAAGAGCCCTGGGGAGGGATCGTCATGGAGGGAAGACAATTGCATAAAAGAAAGAAAGAAACTGAATAGTCTAAATAGGTTTAAAGAAATATTTTGCTATCTACATTTCAGTGTATTCTCATATAAACTTTTAATCTTTGACACAAAATAAACATCATTTGTTAAGTGCTTATTTAGTATGCAAATTCTTCATCACTTCTGAAACTCATAAGTAACAAAGATGAGGTGTGATTTATAATACTAGAAGAAGCTTGCCAGTACTGAGTTTCCTATCTGTGCGCTTCTGTTAATTATAATTTTGTACACTTTAAACTCATTTAAACTCATTGGATTAAATAGCTACAAAACAAATTTACAGTGACAGTTTATGAAGCACCCTCCTGGCTACTCCAAGATATACAGCAAGAGTCAAACCTTCAGGGTACCTCTAAACATTTTCTGCATAAATATGGACATTTCAATTTGCAGATACAATTGTGCCCCTGCTTATTCGAGTACAGTGTGCAATCAGATGGGCTTGAATGTTTTGTGCATACATTTTTAGGCCTTCCAAATATCAGTTTCAAGTTCAAACAGTTATGTAATTTAACAAATCAATCCTTTATGGTCTGCTTGACCATGAAAATCTCTTTCTTGAACTACCCTGGGTTCAGCTGGACACACTGAAAAAAGCAGAAAGAGAAGGCCAAGGTATTTCAGTAACTCTCACTCAGAATTCTGCAGGTGCACCTACCTTCTGAATTGTCATTACATCAGTTACCATACAGTATTTGGTGCATTCTCAAAGTTTGCATGTTCTACTTCACGAACAGTCAGTCTGCTCTTACAGAACTGACATAAGGAGGAAATTTTGAAAATTATGCTTTTTCCGTTTGAAAATTGTAAGGTGATAAAAAAGGCTGGGATTGCTACATACCAGCTGACTTGTTGCACAATTTAGAATGAAAAGTGATTCCACATACACAGGTATAGAAAAATATGATTACACATTTTCCATATTAAAAACATCAGAATCTTTGAACTCAGTTACTCTCCAAAAATGAGTAACTCTTGAATGTATGTCCTTGAGTATCACAAAATGTCATAAAGCTGTTCATTCTTCCTTTGCATCGTTCTTTTGCATGTGTACTTGATTTGCTTCTTCTTGTTATTCTTCTTATTTTTTTAATTCACCAGAGTTTAGAAAACATTGTGACCACTGTATGTGTATCTAAGTTTATAATTTTACAGTAACATTTTTGAAGCAGACCTGAGCAAAAATTTCTGCTTTTTTTTTTCTTCTTCATTTCTCCATTTTCTTCTTCAGTGGTCTCTTGAAAAATCCAGCCTGCAGAAAAGAAAAAAGTGACTAAGAACTACTCAAAGCATACAGCCTGTATTGGTAGCACACGTGCTGGTTCTTACTACTGTTTTAATACTTTCAGTACAGTAAAACATCTTTTAATATTTTACCATTGAAGTACAACATTGTTTTTCTGGTAACAGAAAAACTAAAGAGACGTCATAAAAGCAGACAAAAGGAGTACAGTTAACATACAGTGTGTGATTGCTGAATCATTGTTATGTCTACATAACGTCAAAGGCTAAAACACTTGCTATTTAGTACTAAATTGAATAAATAATACTTTATTTTATACTTGTCAAATTTTTCAAGAGATTATGCATGTTGAAATTTATAAATTCTAACCTTCTAATGTAAGTATGAGCTAAATATTTAGCTTGAAGAAGAGTGCCCACTTGTGGCAATACTTACACCACAGGCCTAGCAGCTCTTGCAAAAATTTAAAATCTGGGTATCAAAGGCCACGGTCAAAGCTAATAAAAAACTCCTTAATAAACTCTTAATTGTACTAAAATATCTTTTTATTTTTCTTTTCAAAACATACTGGCAATATAATAGGTTTCAATTGGCTAGCATTGCATGTTACACATCAGAAAAATATAGTGCTATTGGTTATTTTTTAGTAGATTTTAGTAGATTTTATGCTACTTATTAGCATCTGTGAGGTTCTAGTTATCAGAAAGACATGGCAGAGAATGTGTCTTTGTTTATTTTAATGGAGACAAGAATATGCAGCTTACCTTCCATAAGGCAAATATAAGCAGTGCAAGAATCAAGAGTCCAGCAAAGATACTCAGGAGGATAACCCATAAGGGGACTGTACCCGGTGGGAGTTCTTTGGAAATCTTAATCATGGTCTGCAAAGCGTTCAGAATGTAAGTAATAAGTAACTCATCCTTCTAAAATATCAACAGAGCAGCATGACTTTCATCAGTATGCATTGATTTTCCAAGGTATCACTTCATTCTTAGTACAGGAATTTGTAGAAGGGAATTGAGAAAATAATCTCCAACGTGAAACCCTATGTTTACATAATATCTTGCAATTTGTAAGTGCATTCATATCATGAGGGTTGGCCCTGCTGTAAGTCAGCTATCAAGGACACAAGACCAAAACCATGAGTAATTGAAGTGTACGTTAAGGATCATCAAGTCCAACCATCATTCATCTCTCAATGCCTGCCTCCTTGAAAGGTGGCAGTGATTAACAAGCTCCTAAACCAATTAAATGAAATAAGTGTAAAAGGCTGTGTAGATACTAATTTGATTTTTAAACCGGGTATATCAGGTGTAAACAAAACTGAAATAAAGAATATTCACATTTATTTAAATGTGACCATATAGGAGTTTGAATTATTTTAACTTAAGAATTTATTAGAGACACAACTTTATAGTTCAAAAAAAGCACTGAAGAGCTGAACACTAAACATTCAGCTTGAAATTATGTCTTGAAAAAAGTTAATTCTGAAATCCTTGGTTTGTAAAGGCAGCTCTCATTACCTGCAAGCCTCTCAGCTGCATTTTCACTCTTATATTGAATTTTCATCTATCACTTAAAAGAAATGCCTGGATACAATACCAGCTAATAGTTGACCTGTGATGTTTTTATTTCTAAAAATATTTTGCACAAGCTGTAATTCACACTAATTATTACTTCGCTCTACATTTTGGGGGCATTAACAATAGTAACACATAATAAGACTTTTGCTTAAAAATGTACATTGTCGTAAATAAGCCCCTGAATGTGTAAGTTATCACAAAAATCCCCAATGCATTAACTGCTATAAAAGTCTTTGAATAAAGAGTACTAAATGATAAATAACAAATCTAACAAAATGGAAGACATTTGTCTTAATATCTGACACCACTACTATAATGTTATATACTTTCTTATCTAAGAAAATGAAAGGGAACGTCTGAAAAATAAAAGAACCTGTTTCAAATATATATCCTGGGCAATGAAGTGGAAAGAAATAATAAATAAATTAAAAATAAAGCAAATACAATATACAAAGTAAGATCACTCCTAAATAACCCAGGACATTTTTTAAAATACTATTGATTCCTTTAAAAAAATTTAATTATGGTTTTAATTTGCACAGATGCAGAAAGCATTTATACTGCAACACGCAGAAATACTTCAGACAGGACATCTCACCCAGGTACACTGGTGGGTAATGGGATTTTAGGGTCATCATCTGACTAATTCTGACATTGCTACTGTAATATGAAACAACTTACTTTTATTTAGAGTAGGATAATACATTACAACAGGTAAGATCAGTTCACTAGTAATGAATTAAAATGAATGATTCAGTAGCACAGTAAATACTATGAAGAATAAATGCAGTATCGTGTTCTTACCTCCAGTTTTTGATGGTCATTTCTCAAAATCAGTGATGAGTTCTCACTCCTAAGTAATGCTTTCACAACAAGGGTTAAGCTGTGAATACTTGCCTGGAAGCAGAGAGAAATGGCTATGGTTTATAACTAGGTATTTTAAAGTAGAAAGCTTTGTAGAAATTAGAAGGGTGAAACCAAAACTTAATGCTGAAGTTTTGGGAGATTCAGTGAAGCTGCTCATGTGTGTCCCCTTCAGCACACACATCACGGTTTGCAAGGCAGCAATACAGCTTTGAAAGAGTAAAGAGCAGAGATTTCAAAGAAATACAAATTTATCCTGGAATACTACTTTGGCCACAAGGACAGATTCAGGCTTTCTAAAATTCTGCTGTATCTCCCCTCCTGTCCTGTTACTTTCCAGAGGAAAAAAAGAAGACAGAAAACAGGAGCTTAGCATCAGAAATTTATCAGCTGAGCAAAACAGTCCACAGCCTCCTCATTGTTGTAACCATCAGAAAATACTGAGGCGTGCTCTGAGGTGGACTCTCTCTCCTCTACTCTTTTTGATCAAAAACATATTTTCTAGACTTGAGAAATCTTTCTGGACTAAAATTTATTTTAAAATTATATGCTTATATGTACCCTTCCTTACATCTGCTGATTTAGAGTTGGTGGATGCATAAATATTTAAAAAAGGACTACCAATAAAAAATAAGCAAGGGATATCTCCTTACCATGTTTTGAAATTCCTGCTAAGCTCTAAGCTAATAGAGCTTATAAATTGCATGTAACTTAGCTTTGAGGAAATTTTAAAATAGCAAGAGAAACTATTTCCAATACTGCAGGGCTGTGGAGACTTAAGAAAACGAAAGGAATAATTTTAATAGACATCAGAAACATTGGCTTAAGTTTCTCAAACCCAGAAGTAATCTGAATATACATGGGATTTACTTACTTTTATGATGGTAGGTTTCCATACTCTTAGTGAAACATTCACTTGAGATATGTCAGATGGGACCAGGGCACAGTTAATGGATGCACAGCTGTATGTATCACAGTCCTGTTTAAAAGGCACAAGCATGAATTAATAGGAAGAAACTTTTCACATTAGTAAAATAATAACATGTAAACTACTGTATTACATACAGATCATTGACTTGCTATGACACCCTTACTAAACTGATATTAATTACTGGGGCTTTTTATGTAAAAATGACATTGCAGTGTATAAATCGAGTTGAGATATTCATGCTGTGGTAGAATAGAGTCAGTTTTTGCAGGCTCTCTTAGCCTGGAGGAAGATCTGTTGCTGTAGGTATGCAGCAAAAGGCATCAGCAGAGCTCCTATAAGAGGCACAGAATGTAACAGCAAGTTTTTTTTCTGCCAATGCAGCTATGGCCTCTCTGCAGTGTTTTTTTATCCTTTCAAATCATGGGACACCTGCATCTTTCAAGCAGGGCAGGATGTGTGTGTTAAAATTTAAGTATCTCTATTTCCCAGTATCACTTGCTAGCTGGGAGGGCAGCATAATCATTATCACCACTTTGGAAACATTTGCTTTATCATCTCTTTGAAGGACTATGATAAGCAAGGCAAAATACTCTTCTCATGGCATGGTTTGTTTCATTTGCACCAGAAACTCAAATTGTACCTCTCTGCTGAGGAGACAGTATGAGGATTTCCCCCCCAATATGCCAAAATAAATAAAACAGCAAAATTACTTTGCAACCCCTCCACCTAAATATGAGAGGCTAAACCTTTCCAAACAGGATCATCAATTAAATTTCTACCAGCTGCATGGAAAATCTGTCAGATCAGAGTGCTAGCATTTGAAAGTATTTTCAACTGGATGTCTAAAAAAGTTGCAAGGGAGATGAAGCCTTTAAAATACTACTATTTATTAATTACAACGGGAATATAGAAGGTGAAGATTTACTCAGCTGCACTGTTATTTATACATTTGCTAAATTTAAAAAACCAAATACCTCAAATTCAGTTCCATATGCACTTTTGTAGCCAAATAAAAACTATACCTCATCTACATAAAGAAGGCTCTTCAGGCTATTAAGACAAAGGGAGTTTTCATAGGGTACAGTTTGAGAGAAGCTTTTCTATATTTATTGCAGAAGTACTCAGCTCAAAGATCTGGGTTAATATTCTGAGATTAATATATATATATATATATACACTATATGTAGACTTACCATAATTGTATCCTTTGTAGGTTCTTTTATTTTTGGCAACACAAATGGTTTCCCAGTGCTGATCTTTAAGGGATCTACAGGGTAACTAGTCTGGCAGATGGCATTCTGTTAGCAGAAACAGAATTATTATTCTTATTGTCTGAATATCCAATCTATTACAAAAATTCTCTGTAAACAAGGCAACATTATTAATATTTGATATTTAATAAAATTAATAATATTTACTAACCCATAAATGCAATATAACTGCATATTGCAAGAGTGCAGAATAGGAAATTCAGATGGTATAAGTATTGAAATATCACTATTCAAACAGCAAATTACCTTTTTATGAGATAATTTAACCTAAACTCTAACCAGCTATTTAAACATTTGTAGAAGCAAACGAGCTTTCTGCAATATGACCACTACATGAACCAGGTGCTGAGCTTTTGCACGGGAATCCACAGAGGTTCTGCCTTAGCAAGCAGACAGGCAGTTTAAGTGCAGGATTGAAAAGCCCCCATTGCAGCACCCAGGGAGAGGGAGCAGGTGCTGGAGCACTGATAGACCTCCATGGCTCCTTCAAAGGCACCTGGGAAATGCTCTGGTGTTTCTGGTGTGGGGGATTTTATTTTTTTGGCCAGGTCATTCACTTTGAGATTGCTAGCATGAAGACGATGGCAAATCCCCTGCAGTGCACTTTGGCACACTACTGTCACTAGAGTGTAGGTTAGTGGTAGATGAATTATATGCACAGAAAAAGCACAGGTTTGTTGAGTTTATCTGCAAACTTGGGTCAAATGTGGTGATTGCCTAGGAGTTAAAATAACGGTGGAAGGAATTAAAGAACAGACACAATTTCTTTGTATTCTGAAATATTCTGGTTTTTTTTATTTCTTTGTTTTAAAGTGAACTTTAACCTTCATTTAGACCATTTGGTTTGTTTTTCTGTGGTGCAACACCTCAAAACTAAATGAAATATTTGGAGAGAGGTGCTCCTCTGTATGTGTCTCTCTCTGAGAAGAAAAAAAAGCCCAAAAAAAAGCTCGAGGTCACTACTTAGTGATATTTGGGTTCTTCAGTCATACAGTTATTGATATAGCTCTAGTTTTAATATTTGCAGATCTGGAATCATGGGACTTGCTTGAATTGTGATCTGTTCCTGCTGTTCTGGAGGACTGAAATGGAAAACTCAAATGAGGGCTGCAGTGAAGAGGATTTTGAAGATATGACCTACCATCCCCTTCAGGATGTCTCAGTGGCCCAGAGAAGGAAGAAGCCAGAGGATTGCTAGTGCTGGAGAGCAGACATGCAGGAAGACTAATTTCAGTGACAGAAAGAAGAGGACTGAACAGGAGATTGACCGCTGGATGTACATAGCAGGACTAGAGCATTTGCAATAAGCACTGCTGATAATGGAGATAATCTGAAGCTCGGTAGGCAAAACTAAGAAAGAAATTGCTCTTTCTCAGTTTGGACCCCTGATGACTTGGCAATATATCAAATTAACCTTGTCATAGTCCGCTTATTGTTCAACACCATTTTAAATTTGCTCATTCTCTTTTAAGAAAACTTATCTCTGTCTTCTTATGCACATCTGTACAAACTTGTAAAACACCAGCATCTTGTCTTTTAGCCTAAAAGCAAGATCCATGTTGAAGCATAATTTGGGCATAATCCCAAAAGTTTGCATTTTGCAGTTCCTTACAGCAAAAATTAATTTTAAATTAATAATAAAATTACAAATTCCTAGCTTACTTGGGAATGTGACAATGCAGTAAGGTAGAGAAGAGTGTTCTTGGCTTCTGTTGCATTGGGAAATAAGATCTGCAGTGTGAGGTTTGGCATTGGAAAGTGTTCACCTTTTTCAATCTACAAAAAAAACAAAGAAAAATGCTTTGATTAGTACTTTCCTTATTTTTTGGTATTTGACTTGTGGTTTTTTTCCTTTCGTGTGTTTTTCTTTTCTTCTGTTTTTTTTTTTTTTTTTTTTTTTCCATGTTTCCCCAGTCAGTTACGCAAAATAAGTAGTGTGATGAACTCTTACTTTTTCCCTGAGAACAGCCTGTTGTGAATTAGCAGACACATTCTTCTGTGGTCTCTGGTAATACAATGCTCTATTGAAGGAAATCAAATGAACAGGATGAGAGGGCCCATTTTGACATAAATTCTTTCTTATATTCTTTACTGCATCCTCTTATCACCTGAGATTTCTATCTAAGGTAATTTCATTTCAATTTTTAAAAAAGTCCCCAAAAGGCTTTAACATGGGAGAGAAGCCGCTGTACCAGCAGCTGCTCCTGATGATTCCTCCTCAGGTGTGCTTAGGCAACAGCCCTCCTGTTCACTTGCTCTTCTCCCCCGTTTTCCTTCAGAACATCATAGGACATTGGGTAGATTTAGATTAGATATTAGAAAGAAATTTTTCACTGTGAGGGTGGTGAGGCACTGGCACAGGTTGCCCAGGGAAGCTGTGGATGCCCCATCCCTGGAGGTGTTCAAGGCCGGGCTGGATGAGGCTTTGAGCAACCTGGTCTAGTGGAGGGTGTCCCTGTCCATGGCAGGAGGGTTGGAACTCAATGATCTTTAAGGTCCCTTCCAACCTAAACCATTCTGTGATTCTATGACATATCTGTAAGTTGCTGCTTCTGAACATGCTTGTGGCTGAGGATGGAGAAAAAGCCTAGGTGGAATTACTGGCAGGGGGATTTGTGATCCTGTCTCTGAACCATACTACCTTAATAAATACTCAAGAACCTGTTTAACTTTTTCTTCTATTTTTTTGTGCTAAGCTGCTTGCAGAGATGAATTGTGCTCACGAGATCATAAATGGTATGCTCTGCAGTCCACCAGCTCTTATATTCAGAAAACAAAGATTTTGAAATGAGATTAATCATTTTTAAACATCCACAAAAGCTCTGAGATTACTGGATTTGAACTTTCAGACTAAAAAAAGTAGCTGAGTAAAACACTGTAGGTGGGACAAAAAAATACAAAAAAACCTTTGCCGTTGTTAGTTAGTGAGAGCAAGAACTTTCTCATGGCCCATTTTTCACAGGCAGAAAGTTGATTCAGAGACTTTTATCATTTGTATATGGGACCCTTGTTCAGCTTTGGTTTTGACACTGTGAAACAAGGATACTCTCCAGAAAAATAAATTAAGTCCTACTGAAACTTGAGGCTGGGCTTCTATTGCATTAAATATCTTTTCCAAGTCATCTGAGTTTGCAGCATTCATTCCATTTGGAAGACAATGTTCTTGGAGCATGGCATTTGCCTTTTTCAAAGCTGACTGGATTTTAAAAATTGCAATGAGTGCAGGTCAAGTTCTCATTTACTGGAGCATGCTCTTTCCCCTGCTGAGGGCAACAGCTCTAAAACCCACCCGAACTACTGAGACCCTCTGATCCACCTTGCTCCAAAGCAAACAAGAAAAATAAAGTTTTAAATACAAAATACTCATTCTATTTAAGTAATAGGCTATGACATTAAGGGATCCAAACCAAATGATAAAGAAGATGAAGCTAGTACATATATCATGCAGTTTTAATTGTTTCTTACCCTATAATGCAGAGTAACTTCATCCCCAATCTGCTCTGTTGTGTTAATAGCAGTAGGTACAGTATCGTTTGCTGCAATTATAACATGGTGTTCTTTGAAAACACTGCAGGTTAAGAAACAAAACAAAAACCCCAATAAGCACAAAAACTTCATAAAAACTCTAGCAGTTAATAATACTATAGGCATTTTCATTATTTCATGAATCCTCCAGGACTAGTCTTGCAATTAAGAGTGCACTGCTACTTCCACTGAAGTTCAACTCATCCATTTTCTGAGTAGTATTTGCTTTTTACTATGTATGTTTTAAATGTTTTGTTCAGATAAAACTACAAAATGAGCAAGTATAGTCCCTGAAAATAACACGAGGGCCTGATTTTGCTGTTCTTATTCTAGCTGTGCAGTCCCTTATCCTGAGTATTGCCATGTGAAACAGGCAGGGTCCTATAAAAGACAGAACAGAGTAAAAAGAGAAGAGAACCAGCATTTTCTCAGTTAAATGTTATTCCTTATGGGTCAAACAAAGGCTGGATTTGAACCATGAAATGTATCCAAAATGAATTTAATTAATTACATCCACACACTATGCAATATACTCTACTGATAATATTTATAATGTTTTACAGGGATGGAATTTAACTGAATTCTAGCTATTTCTGAAGATAAAGTGTACCACAAGACCTGCATCAATGTTTATGTCTGAATTGATAAAAAACCTCTCTGAGAATCTAAAATTAAGGCTAATTTTTGAAGCTGGAAATCAAACACCGTACCATGCAATATTATAGTGATACAAACTCACGGCCATCAGGAAGCTGGAAGTTTTTGCTTTCTTATGTACCTGAAACATTCATTCTTTGAATGAATACAGCAAAGTACAAGAATCAACAAAAGCTGCTGTTGTATTTGCAAACTGCAGATCAAATTCAGACAGAAAAAACTGAGATAAAGCCAGATAGGGACAGTAACTGCTCCATTATTTCATGTAACTGCTCTTTTCAGTGAGACCCCTGCTTCCTGTTCATGAATCTAGGAGCTGTTATCTGTGGATACTGAGCACAGACCAACAACAGAACAATACTATATTCTCCCTGAACACCTGCTATTTACTCTGCTAGCAAGTAAAAGTACAGAGAAGCATCAATACCTTACAAATATTAATCCTACTTCATATTTTACTGGAATTGTAACGTGTCCTCTGTTGTCACTCAAGGTCTCAGGTGGTTCTTCACTGTCACTAAAATAAGACAACATATGCCACTCAGATCAGACTGTGACAGTCATCTGCACACACAACACAACTACTAGGTGGGAAAGAATCTCAAGAAACAGAAATACCTATAGCTCTGGGCATGAAAAAACACTACAGTTAATTACTATCTCCTAAAAATGAATTCAAAAGACTATTTCCAGTAAGTAAAAAGTTAAATCCTGCACCAGTCCTACCTCAGAGATGCATTTTTGTCAAAATTATAGACTGCAGTTGACTGAATTAAAATGGATCAGGTAAGGGCTGCTGCTCTCACACCATCCCTGGATTTTGCAGGGACAGCAAACACTGAGGGCAAGCGCATTCCTCTACTGTATCACAGACCACTTTTGCAATGCTCTTGCTCTTTGAAGGCCAGACCTTCTTGTTTGGCACAAACTGCAGTTCATGCTAAACTATGCAGTAATTCTGTAGGAGAATAAACCTTTTCTGAAGGTAAAACTACTGGAAATTATGACTCATTAGTGACTCGGGCTCTAGAGACAAACCGCTATTTATTTAGTCCACTCAGTCCACTGCTGGACTGAGTACATCCATGAAGCTGCCAGCTCTACAGCTTGTTTAACTACTTGTGAGTTTAGAAAAGTCATCCTTGTTTTCCTATGAGCTTTCTCAGGAAAAAAAAAATCAGAAGGTAAACAAGTAATGATTGCAACTAACCTTGTTGCATATACATGAACAGTAACATTTTCCAGGAGATAAGATGCATTGAATTGGAACGATATTTTGAAGGAAATCTGTTTGGAGAAATACATTACACATTTTAAAAGAAAAAAAAAAAAGAAAGCATATTAATAATTTTTGGTCTGATGAAAAATTAGTAAATTTTTGCTACTTACATCTACAGAATCCTTATTCACATTTTAACACTTTTCTATGCATGAATCCACTTGTTTGAATTTCTCCCAACCAAGAGGGAAATCTAATAGTTATCTCTTATTAAACAGAAGGCTCAAATTTTCAGAACTGGGAAGCATCAATAAAACTTATTATATAGAATATTACAAATACATACCTAAATAATTCTTAATAGAAACCAACTGGTCTTGCAAGCAATTTATAAAAACAACTTTTTTTCTCTAATAAGAAAGAAACAAAGCTTCAACAAAGCTTCAAAGCCTCACAATTACAGTGGAGATGAGTTCCCTACAGAAGGCTTCTGGCATCTCACTTAATATACAGTAGAACACCTAGAATACTGAACAGAAGTGTTTACAACATAAAAAAAATAACTACTATGTCATCACAAAAATTCCCTCCTTGTTTTAACTAGGGCAAATCTATCACAATTTGGGACCACACAGAATTTGGGAATACTGTCCGAAACATGTCACTCTTCATATCCTGACTCTTAAGGGTAATTTTATATGAATCAAAAGTTTTGCTATTTGTTACTGTACAGGTTTTTTCAGCTCAGACTTTTGTTTTTCTTTTAACGTGTACAAATCTTCATTGCAATGTGAGTCAGGGAAAGTTGTCTTAGATATTCCTTAATATTTTAAAAAAATAGGTCCAGAAATAGGCTTCAAAAAAGACTGTATTAGGGATGCATATCTATGAATTAGAGATTAATTGATTTCTGAATGCAAAGGAGAGCGTGAAATTTCTAAATTTAAGGATCTATAGCTACAGACAAACTAACAATCAAAGCATGAAAGGAAAATGTGAAAAACAGAGTAAAGCTGGGAAGGGAGGATTGTGGGCACTGGCATTGGGTAGTATGCTTATTTGGCTCCAAGAACGTAACAGCTGACTTAATTCCTACAAGTCCAAGACACAAGCTGGAATGTGTATGTGGGAGGCAATGTAAGACGACATCTCTCCTGTTACTCCCTCTGTTATGCATCTGCAACGCAGACCTGATAACACAAAGGAACAACAAGAAACTGCCAGGAAAGAGGGTTGGTCTTATTTGAATGCAATTTGGTATCTCCCAATTCAATATCAGAACCATTTAAGTAAGGCTTAGATGCATATTTTCAAAGGCTAAGTTTAGCTAAAGCTCCCTCTCTATTCCAGGACGAGATACAGGCTTATCACTGGAGCTGTTCAAATTGGAGCTTGATTTCAAGTGGACTGCCTGCTGGAAAGGACTCTTGCTTCCCACTGAGCAGAGGCAAAGTCTTGACACCTGGCTTTGGCAGATCCAGGTTAGCATTTCCACATACCAGCTTATTCTCTTTTCAACCATATGACCAAATTTTATATACAAAATAACTAAAGTCATAGGCTACAGTCTGTCGAAAGCCACAGTACCTAATGCCTTATCAGTATATCCTAACCCATATCCTACCCAATATCCTATCCTTCTGGAGACAGACCCTTCTGGCTAGGTGTGCCACTTGCCTTCAGCCAGTGTCAACAACGGCACCTTTTACCTCCTTACATACCACAGCTGACTGCCCAGGTACTGAAGACCTGATGTTTACCTATCTGGCGCAGTGCAGTTCACATCAAGGATAGCTTGGGAAACATGCAGGGACAGGTTTTGCAGTGAATACAAGATGAAAGAAATTCAGAGGTGATAGGGACTGCCCTGGCCTTAGAATGAGATGGAGCAAGGAGAATGTGCATGCAGGGGAACTTTTTACCTCTTCTTCAGGTTTTAGAAATGGATATCCCACTTTACAGGTAATGTTGTGGTTAGATTCACAACTATCTTTCTGTACATCCTAAAGGAAAAAGAAAGTGAAATCATTACCTTATGCAAACTGCCTTTAAATTCTGACTAAGCTTCAAGGGCCTGTTGAACATATACACCATTGCTGCTTTTTCCTGTCAAAACATCATAAGAGTCAAAGCCTTAACTGAACTTGAACAAAAGTAGGAACTCACAACTCCTCCAAAATAATTTCCACCTATAGACATCTACATCAATTAGTAGCCATTATTCCCTTCCAGTGAAAGTGTTTGGAACATTAGGAATTATATACAAACTGGACAAAATGCAAATTAGTCATGGGGTCTAGCAGATCAACATACGTATAAGTACACAATTTTTAAGTGTAATTTTGTAAATGTGTTCCCAACTTGGAAATAAAATTGGCATTCATGCTCAATAAGTTATAGTCTCAGGGTTAGCAACAGTGCTATGGACCCCTGACTTCTCCTCATGTGTAACACCCAGGACCTCTGATTAAAAACAAATTTCTCCTAATGTTTCTCACCCCAACAGAGGTGAATTTGTAGCATATCTGCTGAGGCAGGAAGAAAAACAGGTACTTTGTAAATGATGTGTGAGGCAGGGATGAGGCAGGCAGTGATCAATGCTGTCCTGCAGAGACAGTACTTTTTCTATACACATGCAGAAGGAGAATTCTAGAGGAGGCTCAGGAGCTGAACTCATCAATAACGAGGCATTTCTGTCTGTACAAATGCACAGATTATTCATGGTGCTGATGTTCACCTAAGATGCAGGCACTTACTGTCCAAATGCCATTGTGAAACTTGTGCCTGTAGTTTAAGGAGACCAGGCAACAGTTCACTCAGGTCAAAATAAGTACACTGTTTTAGAGGGATAAACAAAGACAGCACTCCCAGGGAATCTCTTCCAATCAATCAAGATGATGCCAGAGCAGTGAAATTCAGGCTTAATACAAAGACTTCCTTAGATCTCCCTATCCATATAGGTTATGATAAATGTCATAATGCAAAAAATTCCTACCTCAATGCCAGCAAAAATAATATTTGGAGAATACTGAACCAAAACTCTGGTGTTATAGGCACTGTCTTTTTTGTTCTTCACAGAGAGCTGGATGGTGAACTTATCATTGCGTGACTTTACAATGAATGGAGAAGAGCTGTAAAATAAAGTGAGAATGTTGGACATCTTACCTTTTGAATCTGTTTTCAACATAAAAAGGAAATTCCTTCAGTGTCCAGACTACATTGCTTCTGATTTGGAAATTACACCATAACAATATCTTTTTAGACTACAGAATTTATAATTTACATAGACATTTTGTACAGATATCAAGTGATACAATAAACCCAGTGTAGTTACCTGTCTCCAGCTATGCTTGTTTTTACATTCAGAACAAGATCTGAAATGCACTTATTTTTGGCTCCACAATCTTTTGTGAAAGGAATCTGCAACAAGAATATTTTTATTCTCAATCTTATTACATTTATTATTAAAATTAATAACAAATTTTAATTCCTTATCTAATTTTATTTAAGGTCTTCTGTCTGACAATCAAAGACATCTCCCCTAATACTAATCAGTTAAGCATGCCAATATCCTGTAGAATGCACAGGTGAAACATAACCTTTCTACTTATGTCATTCGTCTGGATTAGAAAAAGACCCTCCCTCTTTAGCCAACTTGTGGACAATACTTTCAGCTCTTGTGTGGGCTATAAGCTTTACCTTAAATAGTTTGGTTATTAATACAGAATCTTGCTGACTTACATATTCTGATATTGAATTTGGCAGGCTGCTATCAAGAACAGGTCCACTCTCCGGATCAGAAAAATTGAACTCCAGCAAAACTTTTACAGAGTCCTGAAAGTCAGGCTTATCCTAGAACATAAAGAAAAGAAAATTGCTGTTATGGACATCCACTTTAGTACCTAAGGAGGTTAAAAAAGCCCAAACAATGCTGAGGTAAAGTATTGTTCAGTCACACTGTCGCCATCCTTGCTAGAGGAGCATCTGAATGATTGCAATTGATGATAAAGCATTTAACATGCACGCAAATCCTTATAAATATTTACAAATGTTTTTGTGTATCTCATCTCATCATACAAATGTCACATAGCCTGAGCATATCCAACACAGTTTCATTTAAGAATGTCATGGAATGGTCAACTCATTGACTTTCCTCTTTTAGTTGTGCTTAAAGGATCAGTGAGATGAAGAACAGAGGTATCGCCTTGCACAAAGTCAAACTGGGGCCTGCTGTTAGGACATATATTGCATATTCAAGGAAATTCTAGGCATAATTTATCATTAGTTTTGAATTATGATACAACTGTGAAGTCAATAAACATTAGTTACAATCTGAGAAATTTCATACTCACAGTTGCTTAGTACATTTCTGTTTTGCAGTGAATGAGTATTCTCTATCCCAAACTGAATTTGCGAGTTTTTAACTGTATTTTAGTAAGAGGAATTGCACTAATACGGAAACTAGACTTCTAGCTCACATACTCCTGCTGAGTTTTGAATGCACCTAAACTATTAACTACGACAGCTGCTTAGTTCCACTAAGTGTGTTATGCTCTTTCTTAGGACAGACACAAAGAGACAGGTAAATAGACTGTACATGTAAGTAAATAGTTTATATCCACATCTATATACAAATATATAAATCCTAAGTAGTAAACAAATTTTATGTACACTTAAGATTAATTCTGGATGAAGATTTTCTTGTTCAATTTACAATTAATGGAGTACATTTGGTTTATTATAATGTCAACATGAGAAAAACACTTTAAATGATTTACTTGCCAACATGTAGAAGTTATGTTTAATACAGTCTGACCCTTTGATAGTTATATTTTTTTGCATTTTCCTCTCATGGCTTTCTGTGAACAAGCTTCGAGATATTTGTCTCTGTGCGTCAAGAGTAACCCAATACTGCAGACCTGCAAAAGAAGTTGAGATCCGTATGACAAACCAATTTGCCTCTACATATTCTTTTTTTTCCCCCAGTATCTTAAATGGACTTTGAGCAGCGATTTTAAAAGGGTTGCATTCCATTTTTCTGAGAAATAAACGAATGTGAGCATAGCAGTTTAATAGCGTAAAGATTCCGTAACTTAGTGCTCTTCTACTTACTGGATTCAAATGTATTTGCCTTTGACTTTAGTCTGGTCTTAAAACAAATCGTGGCATTTATGCATATCGTTTTTCTTTTATTTATCTGACAATTTTGTTGTTGGATATTGATGCTTTTGGGTACAAATTGCATGGAAACATTTACTTCAGCCACATCACGAGACCTTAACAAAAACACAAAGAGAGAAAGTGCCTTGAAAATAATAGCAGCAACTTTTCCATTTAAGAATGAACTTAAAAAATATTCAACATTCAACATCAAAATGCACATATGTGATGGTCTAGACAAATAACTAACTATACACTCTATACACAGTAGCAGTAAACAACAAATTAAAGAAAAAATGGCCACAAGGTTTCTCCACAGTGCTGTGCTTGTTGCAGAACAGACACCAGACGAAAGGAAACATTCAAAAGCAGCTCTATAGAGCCAGTCCCATTTTAAAAGAGACTGAAGACCTGGACCTATCCTTGAGGGTATCGCTAGATGAACATATTATTATACACAAGCTGGAGGGTAGCATACCACCTCTTAGGCTATGGGTAACTAAACAGGCTGAGATTCACTAAAAATTTGCTTCAATTTAACTCCCTTTTATCCCTGTCCATGCAACACATTCCTGCCTCTCCCTCTGCTATAACTCAGTTCTTTTTGCTTTTGAGTATGCTGATACACTAAACCAACAGCAAATTTAGCTGGCAAAACAGCTTGCTTCAAATTTGTGGTCTAAACAATGCAGTGAAGAGGCATCTCATTGCATTTACAGATGGAGTTTTCAGAAAGACAAACTACCAGATGAAGGTGAGGAGAAGCTGTCAGCTTGAGGATGGTAGAAAGACCTGACTAACTTGATCACCTAGCAAGTGTGCTAGTTGGAACAGTAGGACAAGGAAAGCAAGGATCTGACTTAGCAATTACCTTACCAGAGAGTTTTAGTTGTGCTTTAGAAAGAAGGGATGACATGCTACCTTGTTTATGTCTCTTACTGGTATTTTTCTGTTCTCCCTTAAAAAATGTATTACTCATTATACCATCTGAAACATGCTCTTTTGTAAAGAAAATTAATTCACTGTTAACCAGAAATTTTAGTCAATTTTTCCCAAAATTTTCTGCAGGGACTCAAACTAGAGTTTTCTTGTTAGGAAGTCAAATGAGTTTTCTTAGTGATCCCTTTACATTTCAATTTCTCCTTGATATTGCTAATAAGATGATATGCAGTATACTGTAAAAAAAGTTTTTTTCTGTTTTACTTGGTGCCACAAGTGGAATCAGTTTCTGTTCTGAATATGATCTAGAAAGACAAGGTCTTCACAGTAGGCTAACAAGGTTTCTAAAACATTCCTGTATTTGTTACTGCTGTCCATCAAGTTTAACACCAGCTCCTCCAGAGAGACATGAAAATATGACTATTTACAGACAGTGTCAATGCATGAGATGAAACCAGTATCCTCACAACAGTCCAAACAGTACCGCGCGCAAGTTACACCAGTAACCCAGGGCAAATGGGTACTTTCCAGCCCGACAGCTGCTGTGAGCATCCGTACCAGAAGAGGGCAGCCCCACCAAGGCCTCCAATGGTGACATCAATCAGCCCGTCATCGTTCAAATCCATTTCTCCATGCACAGACTGGCCAAAAAATTTCACTTTTTCTCCATCTCCACCTGATGCAATACGCTGTGAAAAGCATTAGGAGTGCATATTGAAAGATTTTATAAAAACATTCAAGACACATTTGTTGGCAGTTAGATGACTGTTAGACTCTTTAAATACATTAAATTTTTATTACAATACTCCTAAAATGGTTACCATGGTGATGAACACACTATAAATTTTCAGAATTGCAAAATATCTACTTTTCTGGCTCTACAGAACATTTCAGAATGTTTCTAATAAAAACATGCAAATATACTTTCTAACAATGTTAGAGTTAAATTCAGTTAAAGCAGTGTGAGTTTAAAAGTACAGAGCACTTTAAAAAAGAAGCTGTCATGACAGGTCGAGACACAGTTTGATACTATGTTGGGAAGACATGTGAAAACAGGATTTGTGCTATGTACACTTAAAGCAGCTGCTAATCTTTAAAGTTTTATTTCATACCTGTGAATATTTTTTACTGATTGTGTTGCCACGGCCATGATAAATATAAACAGCTCCCCGATGATCATCCTCTAAGGGAGAACCTATTACAATGTCATTATATCCATCAAGGTTGAGATCCTTCACTGCAGCAATTGCAGTCCCAAAGCGTGCACCACAAGGCTCATTTTTAAGAACTTTGCAGGTGTCCTGCTTCAATGGTGAACAGCATGTTTGCTTTATAGGTTCAAGAGTCATCTGGTATTCAAACTTTGTCTGTGAAAGAACAGATTGAGAGTTTGTGGATTTCCACCAACATTTTAGCAATGCAGGCTTTTAAGAGCTCCTGTCCATAAGACAAACTGATGAATTAAATGAAACAATTACATCCTACTCCTAGTGACTGAGTGCAATTAGAAACTGTGATTTTGGAACTATAATTCAAATGCTCTTTCTAAGCAGCAGGTGAGAAAGACATTCTCACTCCCTCTCCTTCTGCATCTAGATGGTTACTCATGATTCTTGAAGTTAGAGGTTCACAGGAAAGTGTAGCAGCATAACGATATTTGGATGTTGTTGTAAGTAAACCGCTTCATTCTTAAGATAGTGTAAAGAGTTTCTCTAAAGCCATTCTCTTAATCTGAGAAGCAAGCCAAATTTCTGATGAAACACAGATGGCAATACTGTTATTCTAGAACAAAAGACAGCATTTCTCTTACATAGACTGAATTCTGCCCTCAGTAGACACATACTCCATGGCCTGACATATGTATTCTTCTGGTCTAGTCTGCATCCTAAACCAAAAGAACATACACAGTGTGGTATGTAACAAATCTTTCCAAGAGATTGGCACCATGAGTTCCATGTTAGAAATTAGCAGCAGCAAGAAGCTGCTGCATCTCTTTTATCTCGATAAAAGGAAGCACAGGAAAAACAAATTTCAAACCCTCACAGTACTGGAGGACATGAAATTCTTGTTTTCTCGCCAACCCTATTCACCAGCAATTTGTTGTTAGCAACATGCATGTAGAAACTGGAAGAGTTTCCTGCCCAATAGATCCAGTCGTTTCAGGTTGCTTCTTGCAATAGTAATTTAGGAGACCATCATTGCTAGGATACACTTTGACAACTGTTATGATGATTCACAGTGATCTTTATGTCCAATCTAAATCTACCCTCTTTCACTTAAAAACTTGCCTCTTGTCCTGTCACTACACTCTCTGATAAAGAGTGACTCCCCATCTTTCCTGTAGGCCCCTTTGAAGCACTGGAAGGCTGCTAGAAGGTCTCCCCAGAGCCTTCTCTTCTCCAGGCTGGACAACCCGAACTCTCTCAGCCTGTCCTCATAGGGGAAGTACTCCAGCCCTCTGACCACCTTCATGGCCTAATACTAATGATACTAATGATACTAGACTTAAAGAAGACAAAAAGAAGAAAAAGTATGCATAGACATTGGAAGGAGAGACTTATCAAACTAAGAAGTTGAGGTGTAGCTGATATATTCCTCAGTCTAGTCATGACATGCTTAGGGGTTGTTGGATGTACAGGCGTTAGCCCCAGGTTAGTAAGCAAGTCACGACGATACTGCAGCACACACTTTTAGGATGGATGAGCCCTACTGTTTCCCTAATCTGTGAAAGCAAAAAGAAAATCTGATAGAAAATTAATCTTATAAATTTGCATCTATGCCTTATTGCACCTTACAGCATATAGTGCTTATCTATATAATATACTCCATCAGAAAAAAAGGTGAGAAAACAAGAGTTTGGGAAAGTTTTCAAAAATAATCTGCATTATACTCCCAATTGTCAAAATCATGTTTCTCTGTTTTCAACAGGTCATCTTCCCCAGCGTAAATTATCATATTTCTTTAAAATAAAACATGAAGACAGTGAAGAGAATGTTCTGTTCCTGGTCAATAAACACCATCCTTACCTTGTTCAGACTATAAACATATACTTTCCCTTGCTCTTCTTTCTCAGTTCCCATATACATAGGAGCTCCAACAAGAAGAAGGTCTGTAAATGAGTCCCTATTGATGTCGATTGTGGTAATAACACCTCCAAAGTATGACCCAATCTGCAGGAAAACATAAGGTACAAATCAGATACAGAGTCAGCAACATCATGTAACATTTCCTGTTGAGAGACCTGTTTTATGGTTGCTTACAACTACACAAAAGTTAACCATTAGGTAGAAATTTTCTTTGCTACTTCGAAGATCTTTTTGGTCTGTTTGCCTTTGAAGCTTGTTTTCTGTTTTAGGGTTTGTTGTCAGATTTTTTAATTTAAGAATTTAATTTTCAACTCTCCTGAGTTTGAAAGGTACCAATGGTGCCTTCTACCTGCTAAGGGGAGGAGGGCCCCTTAAGACAGCATTTGAAAGAAGTGTCTTGGGGAAGGCCAGTTTTCTCTTCAGTCCCAACAATAATACATAGAAGGAGCAAAATCAACAGTCTTAGGCTTGCTAGGGGAAAAAGGTAGGATGGTGGACAAGAGCTCTGAGACAACACAGTGCAGGCAGTCTCCAAAAATTCCCAAGTTGCCACTGAATGCGGAGGAACAAGATCTACACAAAGAGCTAGATACATTTATAGTCTGGGTACAAGGTGTGGGATTTATTTGATTGCATTCACTTCACATCTAAGCTAGACACCCTGCATTTCCTTTACACTCAACATGGAAGCAGTCTCTTCTAGTGCAAGATGCATCTCATCTCACTTCATGCTTCCAGTAGGCCAGTTCCTTCACACCTTAAAAACGCCTGCTTTCCTTCATTGACTCTAAAAGGATTCATTGATCAGATGAGTTGCAGATGTCAGCTACAAGTTAAAATTAGGTAATCTTAATTCTCCTTAAAGAAGCTTGTACTGCAGCCTGGGAAGACCCGAGTAGGCAGGTCTTTCAACCTTCATGTGCATAATATTGTACTACCATTTTTAATTATGTGATTACTTCCTGTTTTTTTCCCGCAGGAATAGATCTCAGTGAGCTGCTACTCAATATAATAAGCAGCTACTCAATATTTCCTGTTATCCCATATTATGCTCTTGCACAGAACCCTGCTTGTTGAACCTGCTTCCTGACAGAGACATACCCCTTCCGCTCAAAAGAAAGAGAAAATTGCAAGTACACAGATGGCTACAGCCACTTTGACACTGGGGAAGGCTTAACTCATATAGACAAATTTTCCCAGGGTCACTGACTACTGTAGAATCTACTTTCCATCACTTACTGTACCAGACTAGCTACCTAACCTTTCCTTCTGATCTTGCTTAGGATCCCATTTCATTTGCTCTTCTGATGCAAAGTTCTCATTTGAAATCGCTATTTCTGCTTCTTGCACCACATTCCTCTCATATGTTAATCATGAATGCATACTTACTTGTTCTCCTTTTAACCTCTGAAGTACTTGTACCTCTCTTCCTTCCATTTTATAAATGATAACTTGGCCAGTGTGATTGTATCGTGGCTGTCCTGCTATGTACAGTACGCCCCCAGGTGTGAGTGCTGAATTCACAGTATATCCTAGGAAGCAGAAAAGAAGTCAAGATGCAGTACACACAAAATGCATCAGAAGTACTTGCTGAGATTTAGAGCCTTTTTAGGGCTTATTCTACCACTAGATGTTTAGTCCTACTCATGCTAGAGAATAATATCAGAGTTAATAAAAAGATCTGGATGTGTATTTGTCTACAGTCTCAGAGCCATGAGCACCACTATGTTAATAAACCTGTTCAGAGACTGGTGAGTCATGTTCACTTTGCCGTTCTCACACAGGGTAAGATGATTATGGTGCTGATGAAATAACTCACGAATAGGTGGTTGAAAAGAACAGTTGTCACTGGCTCACTGTCAAACTGATGGAGTCTTACAAATGTAATTCTGGGGGCAATTTGAACCTAGATCTGTTTAATATTAACAACAATTTAACAACTTTGGTGAAAGAATAATTAAAAAATTTGCAGATGAACCAAAACTCTGCCAGGGTTGCAAGTATTACAGAGGATAGGATCTAAATTTAAAATGATTTCACCAAATTTGAGATATTAAAACAAACAGCTAATGACATTTGCAAAGAAGACAAACAGTGTACTTAGGGGAAAATAAATATTCTAGTGTTGATTGTTCATCTTTGAAAATGTGGCTTAGATGAGATAACAGAGCAAGCGGAACCATGAGGTGTAGAAAGACAGACCTAGAGAAGAGAGCAAGGCTGCTGACACTTTTTCGCAGAAAAGGCTGAGAGGAAAACAATAGCTTGCCAATATGCAAAACATTATTACAAAAAAGAGAGTGGTAAACTGTTGTTCTTGTCCATTAACAGAAACCAGCTTAATTTTAAGAAAAGATTTAGGCTGAATATTGTGTAAAACTTTTTAACTATCAAGGCGTAGAAAAAATTGATAAGAATAGTAGAGGAATCTGTGAAACTTTTTTTGAACAGACTAGGCATCTCTGTTGGGGGGTAATATAGATATACTCAGGTCTGTAAGTGTCTGGACTAGTTTTTTTGATTGTAGAAGTAGTAATTTAAAAAAAAAAAAAAAGAACAAGAAAATAATACAGTAGACATGTCCATACATTATACATTTCCCCAGGCTCCTAAAATATAAGATAATATTCTGTAAGATGTGTTTGTGAATGAGATTTGAGAGAGGTCTTGTGGTAAAAAGTGTTACAAGATGGGCTACTTCTCTTACCTAGATAGGCTGCAAGGGGTTCATTTTTTTCTGAAAGCCTGTCACGAAAAGTGTCATTAGCTGGTATTGAAATACCACTGTCCTTCACCATGACCACTGTGCCATTCCAGTCATAAGCTCCAACTGCTCCAAGCATGACCCAATCCTTATGTAGAGAAAAACAAAAAGCCTGTTCTCTGTGTGAACCATCTTTAAACATTCATTCATCATGATGCTCACATTTTGGGTAATGTTTCCCGTATACTTACATATGTAGCCCTGCTTTTCCTATTACAGTATAGCCCTTATGGTCATAGTATGTCTCCCCCCTCTTTTTTTTTTTTGGTCAAAAATGCACCCAACAGGGCCATTCAGGAAAAATAGCAGAATGAAACTTCAGCACACCATCCCAGGCCAAACAGGAAGACAAAATGGATGCTAATCAGAGAATACAACACTTACATGCATTTCCCAGAAAAACTTTCAGAAATTCGAACCTTTCTCTGTTGAATGTGTGAGTCTTGTATATTCTGCAAGAGCCTTTTGTCAATGAGAAATGGTTTGCTGACCTTTCTTGCCTGAAGGCATGAACATAATGTTCCACATAAGACAAACACCAGAGATCTTGAGTCTGTCAATGTTCCAAGGACTGAGGACCTACTTCTGAAGTGAGGTTCTGATGATAGCAGGTCAGTTGTTTGTGAACTTCAAGAATATGCTCTACCAAGCAGAAAATCTTATAAACAATCTTTGTGCTCCCTATCAAGATTATACTTGTTTCTAAGGTATGATGCTTCACCATCTGAAGCATCATACATGATGTAGTGCAGAGTAAAAATGAACAGGGAGTACTTCTGCAATAAAGTAGTTATGTTAAATCACACTGAAGGTCTCTTATTCTCTTTTTTACCAGTGATATGCTGAGCTGTATACAAACATATGTTTTCTTACATATGTCAGTTTGTCTTGGATGGCTTGATTTTTGTTCAGTTCAGTTGTGCTCTTTTCCACTATCACTGCTTTTTTGGATCTTTAAATTTTATTTCCTCCTAGTTCTTTTGATCTCATGTTAAATTTTAATTTCATTTGTGTACAGTCAGCAGATCATCACAACGGATACTTTTTGATTTTTCAAGAAAAAATAAAATACATAGGGAGTGATTTTCTGCTAATACAAATTCCCAGGGATTTTTGCATCCCAGTTTAATGTTCACCCCCTGAGAACTGAAGTAATCAATGTGTTAACAGAACTAAGAATATGTTGTGCTACTAATAATGCAGATCATATCCATGATAGAAATATCCTTTTTATATATATTCTGTCTCAATTTCACTGGTACAATCCAGTATCAAATGATACATTAATATTTAGAGAGAACAGTTTTATAGTTCACAGGATCATAGAATGGTTTGGGTTGGAAGAGACCATTAAAGATCATCTAGTCCAACCCCTCTGACATGGGCAGGGACACCTTCCACTAGACCAGGTTGCTCAAAGCCTCATCCAGCCTGGCCTTGAACACCTCCAGGGATGGGGCATCCACAGCTTCTCTGGGCAACCTCTTCCAGTGTTTCACCACCCTCATTGTAGAAATTTCATCTTTATGTCCAATATAAATCTACCCTCCTTCACTTAAAACTGTTGCCCCTTGTCCTGTCACTACAGGCTCTGAGAAAAAGTCTTTCTCTGTCTTTCTTAACGTATTGTAGACTATTCTCCGTAGAAAGGGCTACGGGACCATTACATCTAGAGTTCATGTGAAGAAGGTACTTGTTCTCTTAAGCTTTCATTGTTTATAATAATTTTTTACAGACATTTTACAAAAAGAAAAAAAAACAAATCACAAAACAAAAAAACCCCACACCAAACCAAAAAGCAAAAGAGATTATGGGAAACTCCAGAACTTCCAACAGCAAACAGGACTGTACAAAGAATTCTGAAACACTCATTCCAAATTCATGCCATCACCAAGAAAAATCTACTTTGTAAAAGAATTTCTATTCTCCAACAGTTTGTTTACCTGAGAATAATGAGCACTGAAACCAGCTTGAGACATTTCCATTTCAAATGAGGCGGCCTGCTGGTCTGTTGTTGCTATTGAACAGAAAAAATTAAGTTTCAAAAGTAAATTAGTTTCAATCTGAAAAAAGTATCTCAACAGTGTAATGAAAGTGCTCATGTGATAGTAAAGGATAGCATAATTAACAAGAATACTCAGTGAATATAGTTTGCCATAGATTTTTATAATAAACACAGAAATTAAGATCTGTGTTAAATGCTACTATTAAGTATGAGAGTTTCCATTTTAAGATCATGTCTCAGAACTTGTCCAACAAATATTTCTGGGATAAAATTGACCAGATTTGACCTCAGGCTGACGGTAAATATGTTTGGAATGTTTGATTAATATGGTTAAGCCATTTTCCACTTGAGCTAAGTGAACAATAAAACACCAGCCATGTAACCCCAGCTTTGTATTCAAGCAACTAAAAATTTGCAGGCAGCTGGAGAAACTTTAAACGACAAACATTTGATGTTTGTATGAATGTTCGCAAAGAACAACATAGGAAAATCTCAGCTGTCCAAGATTCATAAGCCTCAGGGAAGAGCCTGGGAGCTATAATCCTGCCCAGAAAGTCAGATGAAAATCTTCCTGATTCTCTTAAGCGACTTTGAAAAAAAAAAGGTATCAGGTGACAAATTTCAGTATCTTGTCAGGTAGTCATACACTAGTTATTAAACTCTGATGAGCTGCTTTGCTCCTAGAGACACTTGCAATATCACCAGGGAAGGAAAAGATCTGCCTCTTCCTCTACTTAAAAGCAATACTCAAGGACTATTTTGCCACCTTAAGTGGCCCCGTAAGATAGTTATGTTCTGCATATTGAGTCCTCAAGAGCAAGATACCATAATGGGTAGTAGAGGGGAACTACTGTGAAATCTGCTCTGATGCTTGACCAGAGAGAGTTCACAATTTTCTACCAGCTGAGTGCTGAGGTAAACCTCCAACTGTGTGAATAAAACATCCATAGCAAGCCATGGCTGCATGAATTTCAGGCATCTGGACTAAATAATACTGAACTTTTGATCCTCAGCAACTAAAACACAGAGGTTGCTCTCTGAGACATGATGTCTGCTAATTGTTGGGATTTATAGCCAGTCATCGGAAAGAGACATGATCTCAAACACAAAATGTTTGACACAAACATGGACCATCATGTTTCTCAAGATGTAGCTGCTTTGCTAAGTCTGAAAAAGTCCCTTTTAAGCATAAATCTCTTAAGTTGCACATTTGCTGATAAACAATATTTTCCTGTGGTAAAGGATGCTCCTTAATGAGCTGAGAAAGACAGGACTCTCACAGTCTGAGACAGAGGACAATGCCAGCACTGTTGGTGCATGCAGCTCTGAATGCTACTCAGATAACAGCCCTCAGTCTAACTTTCCATTGAGTTTCAAACTGCCAAGCATCCTACAAAGGATATTTTTGTACCTGCCTACGGGTTGGATAAAACATAAAATTGCTGTTAAAACCAGAAGTGCATGCCATGAGACACAGAGGCATATGAAAAAGATTATGTGTAAAAATCGACTGGCTGTCAAGTATGGGTTTTTGTTGGATTTGATTTTTCAACCCTCTCTCATTTTTCCTTCACAATTTTTTAAAGGCCAAAACCAAAAAGAAAACAATTAATCCAAGAAAAAAAATTAAATGTACTGCTACACTGGCAAGAGGCTCTTTAGATTGAGAATTTAAACAGATTCAGATGCAGAATATCAAGAATTCAGCTACAGTGTATGAGTTTAATTAATCTTTTCCACACTGCACACATCCAATAAACTGGATTGTCACCGGAAAGCTGGGTGGGACAGAATTAATCTGCTTTTCTCCCCCACCATAAAGATGTGTCCATGGACACAGTTGCAAATCTAGAATAGCTCCTGGAACGCTTTGGGAGGGGACAGGAAAGCATGCCTGAAGAATCAACAGAAGCTGATTTAGTCATCAGCCTCTTCAAGCTCCAGCCTTACCAACCCATTGGAGGAACTCAACCTTGCTAAGTTTTGACAAAAAGCTAAGATCCCATTTTCAGTTCCTATTCTGATTCTCTTGCAGCCAGATTATGTGACTTCTGTGACTTTCACAGGTGGACGAGGTGACATTTCTTGCCTCATATCACAGGTGTCTTATATAGAAATCATAGCACATCTGAGTTCCTAGTGAAAATCTGGAAATTAAGAAGCCTTTTGGGAGTGGTGAAATCACCTACCTGATCACTTACAGTGTAGATGAAAATAATTTTCCACATTTTTTGTGTCAAATATATTTTTTGTAATACAGCCAAGTTTATATAAAATAAAAATTCAAAATAAGGAAAATAGATCAAGGCACAAATATCATAACAGTTTATAACAAGTTAATGTTAAATTAAAAGTAAAAATATCCAAGAAATACATATTTGTTACTGCATCTTTTCCAGAAAATTACGGCTGAATTCAAGGAGTACTGCCAAACTTGTTGATACTTAAAGAGGTACAATAAATTTAAAGTACCAAAATACTGAAGAACATGTTGATGAGGATTAGTCTGACTACCATATAAACAGATAACATTTACACAATTTATTCAAGCAGTTACCTTCACCACTGATAACATAACTACATATTTTTGGATATTTTTTTAAGTTACAGAACTTATTTACTGTTCAAATGTTTTGTAATTTTTTTCTGTAGATTTGAGGAATGAATTACTAAAATCAACGGAAGGGTTAGGGCTGGTGATATAAAGCATTCCCCACTAGCAGGGAGTTCAAGCCAGCAGAATTTACTCCACTATTTGGAGGCTGGGGTTTAATGTGACAGATAAGTACCACCTAATGGCTACTGATTGCTAAAAGGGACAAGGCAGAGTGTGACACAGTGAGACCATCTCTTCCAGTGGCAGATAATTGTTCAAAGGGTTGAGCTATGGCATGAACCCTTGAATCTGAGTACACTGATATCTAGAAACTCAGTCATGTTAGGTCTTATATATCCCTTGTCTGTTGTCACGACTAGCAGTTGATTAACTTTTTATTCTATATTCATTATATTTAACAGGTGTAACTAACAGATTTTATTCTACTAATGAAAGACATTAGAGAGTTGTCTCACTTTTCTAGAAGTACAAAGCACAAATTGAAGACTAAGTTTTCAATTTCTGTTTGAACAACTATTTTTCCACTGAAAGTGTATTCTTCATAGTAAACAGAGACTTAACAAAAGAGCCCCCTATTCAATGAACTCTGAAGCACTCAATGAGTTTAAGTAGGCTATATTTTGGGCTTTAGAGAGATTACATTCTCCTCAAATTAATCTCCTTCAAAAATGAGGAAACAAAATTTTTCGTAAAGAAAAACATAAGAACACATAAACTGGAAAAATATTTAGTAATAACCAGCTGGAAACAATAATATTTGATGAAGCTAAATGATAAAATAAACAACCCCTAAATATGGCATTAGAAGAAAATATAGAGAAATATAGCTCCGATTTAAAAAACTTTAAAATACACTCTCGTATTTGTACTATTTATTGACATAAAAGTGAACATTATCTTTCGTTTCAGATGTAAACTACATAATTCTAGATACTTGAAATTGAGATGTTGGAAAAAATAAGTCCAAACAGATGGATGTTTTCTTTATCCCTTCAGAGTTGTCCAGTATAGTTTATAACTAATAAACTCAGTCTGTTACCAGTTGTGTGCTTGAAACAAACAGAGATTTGGAAAGCGTTGTCTAGTTTGTGTGGAGAATTTAAGCAGACATTATGAGAGAATTGACTTTCTGTGCTAAAATCTGCATATCATGAACATTATATATCTTGTCGACTCTATGCACGAAGTCCATCTTAACTTGCATAGCAAAGGAATATGATATAACTAATAACTAACCACAAAGAGAACCTAAAGGTATAGGCCGACGACCACACGATCATGGGGTAACCAGGCTATGGCCTGGCAATGCTTTTTTACCTAAGGGAAGGCAATATTATGTTTACCCCAGCTAAAACAGTAACGCTTACTCACACTTTTAGGCTATAGTCTCCACAGACTCTAACCCCTCTGAATGTATTTCACTTAAGTATCTGTGTTTTCGAGGCCTATTGCAAAATACTTTCATGATCAGCATGAAAAAAGTAGCTGCATAACAGATTTTATGCAGCACAATACATTCCAAAGGAAGATAAAAGCAGATGGTCTTCTATTTGCTTCAGTCGTAATGCAGGCATGAAGTACAATTTTAAATAATATCATACCTTCCAGGGCAAATATTCTCTCTCCAAGTGCTTCAACAATAGTTACAAGAGCTAATTCATCTGAGACATTGAAGAAATGCTTTTCAGTAGGCCTACTGGCAATTGATTTTATTTCCTCCACAAATTTTTCAGTACTTAAATTTCCTCTGCTGTAGCTGCCAAGAATCTAAAGAGAATTTAAAAAAAGAAAAGTCAAGGATACATTTTATAACCTGTTTTAAAAGATACCTTTGAGGCAGGTTGTCAAAGAATATTTGGAAATAATATCTGACCTGAACTTTTTTCTCTTAAAACCTCCCTCAAATTGATTTGAAACCATTATTATCCAAGGAGAACAGAACTGTATGAAGGCTCAGTTGTTTTTCTGAAAATATCAAGAATAGCAAAGAAAGCAACTGTATGGTGTAATGCCTGCTATGCTCAACTGTCCTTTTTTTTGCCTTTGTGACAAAATGCTAATGGTTTATTCAATGATTCTATGATTTGTTGAAGTAGGCCTTCATTTAGGAAAAAAACAACATAACAACACCCAAACCAGAATCCACAGTTGCACTGGCTTCCGCACAGGTGGCGCCAGTTCTCCCCATAGTGTGGTACATTAGCAATTAATGACTAGTTAATTACGCATAGAATAATTCTTTTTTGTGTGCAGATTTGCCCTACAAATACATATAACAACAGCATTCAGAGTTAGCAACTCCATCACAGTACAAGACCTTAGATTTGGCTTGCAATTTTAACACCACTGCTGTAAAAATTCAGGATGGCTCAGAACAAAATGACTCACTTGTCCAATTCCCAGACCGCCAAGTATTTTTCACGGAAAAAAAATGCTCTATACCCTTAACTTGATTTGAGAGGGAAATAAAACCGAAACTCCCATGTTCTAGCATTCCTGGAAAAACGAACAATTCATATTTGGTTCTAGACAGAGATTTTATGCCTAAAAATTATTGCAGCTTCAAAGACAAATTTTCCTTCATGATCTCTAGATTTATGAAGGCAGTGACAATTTGTGTGCTGCTTGATTCAACTTCTGCTTTATGTCTTTCTTTAAACTAAAGATAACATCTTTCTTGAAGTTGCGGGGTTCCATACCACCTCATTGTACCAAAACAAAGAAAGACAGAAATAGAAAAGCAACTTTCCAAAGTACCTTCAAAATTAATGAGAGGAAACATGATTTGAGTATTGTATACACAAATACAGTGGAAAGTTCACACCAAATCTGTCATTAATGTGTCCATATTTCTTGATATGGGTAAACTTCCATCATGTTCATCCTCTCTTTAAGCTACTAAATTTGCTCAACACGAAAATGACAACTACAGGATGCCACCAGACAAAACAACCAGGATAAACCTGGTTTTTGTTGGTGGTTTAGATTTGCCTTTTTTTTTTTTTTTTAAAGTAGGTAATGTGTCTGTAGAAGTTGCTCAGAAGATTTGAACTAATCCACTCTGATCAGTACTGCTCTTATCAAAAAGGATTTGATTTTATACTGCCCCTCAAACTCTTTCTCCTTTTTCTTCACATGCACGCAGACCTGTCATCACCAGGAGGACAGATGGATGGCTTTTTCTTATGTGCTATAAAATTGGAAAGCAAATTTTAAATTTCTTTTTTCAGCTTCTTTCTTTTTTTCTTCTCTGAAATTATTATATTTCCCTAAAGATTCCATGAAATGAACTTTTAAACAGAAATTACATTTGGAAGACGAAACATGCTTTAAAGATTCTGAATTTTCCCATTAAATTTCACTTACAGCAATAGCAAATCTCTGAATGTTTTCATCTTCACAATTATCAATCACTTCTTGTAATCTGTAGTTGTCATGTGATTCCCCATCAGTCACAATAACCATTACTTTTTGTACTCCTCTTCGTGCACCGTGAGCCTCAGTAAAAGCCTCTTTCCTGAAGGGAGCATAAAGCATTTGGAGAAAGGCAATATCAGCATTTAGCACATGCATCATATTTACATAGTCAACGATAAACAAAAGAACATTAACTAAGACACAGGAAAAGGAGACTCATATTAAGCATGAACAAACAACAACAGTAGTTCACATCCAAAGTGTTTCACAAGCATTCATTCATTATTCATTCATTACAGAGCAACAGCAGAAAATACAGTGCTGGGTAGTGAAGAATTCTTCCCCTCTCCAGATAAACATCTGTCACCTTAAAATAGCTTTTGGCAGCTTATAAAAAACATAACCAACACCCCCTCCCCCCACCCTCCCATCCCAAAACCCACATACAAAAACCCCACCTATTTCAACCCCACAGCAGCACTTGAAGTGGTCAAAGTATTTACTCAGCTGCCTGCACACCTCTGTGCATCTACAGTAAGACTGAGTGTTGGGGATGTGGCAGAAGTAAGTTTCAGGTGAGTGGAGGCAGGTGGGGCTGACCAGTCGAATTTTAGTCACAGATGGGCAAATGGGCAGTGAGGTTTTGGGCAGCTGCTCATGCAGATTCTGGATGGGACCACAAAGGGTGAGGCTGGATTAGGGATCTGGAGAAGAAGGAAGGAAGCAAAGCTTCCTCTTTTTAGAATACCGTAGAACTCTAAGACTGGTCACACAAGTGAAAGCTAGGATCTACCGCTGACGATGGCCAAAAGTGGCTGGATATAAAGACTGCAAGAACAGAGGACTGCAAGAACAGAGGAAGCTTTTGCTGACGGTTTTTGTATACACAAGCCTGCAACAGTTTGTGGTGCACAGGGACTTTCTGAACCACATGTGGTTTCTGAGTATTTGGCAATTCTGAGCTGGCTCTGCTTTCATGAACTTGCTCGGACTCCCTCAAGCTTCTGCTTGTATCTAAGGAAAACATTACTAGTGAATATGTAAGAATTTAATTGGATTTAAGACATCATATCAACAAAATGTTGGTCAGATAATCAAATAGTTGATCAGAAAGATGATGCATATTTCACTAAATGGTTGTTTGGAAAGGGTAAATGCAATCTTTTATGGAATAAAGTCATGCTGTCATGCTAGAAAAAAAAAGTAGAAGAGAAAAAAGATAGCAGGACATTAGTGTACGGTTTGAAAGTGTCTAAGAGACTTTGCATTTATGGTCTGTTCTACAAAAGTCAGATTTCATTTTTCTCATAAAAGAAGCATTTCTAAATAATGCTATTACTACAACAGATTTTTAATCTCACAATGATCCAGAAGCCTCAAAGACTTTGCATATAAAATTTCTAGGCTTTCTGATAAGTGTGGGCTCAAACCCCATAATAATCTTAATTTCGGAATGAAGACAAATTAACATTAAAAAGTTATATTTTTTTTCCTATCTCCTCTGAAAAACTTAATTTCCTTCATCTCTCTACAAAGTTCCTACCTGCTCTGTTTGGACATCAAAGATTGTCAGACATTTGCTTAGGACTACAGCCTTGCTTCATGGATCTTCTCTTTCCCTATTTGCTCCATTCAAGAGACAGCTGTCTTTTCAAGGGGACATATACGACTGCTCTGGGTGCTGGGCCGAGTCTGTTTATCCACCCTCTTCCTAAATATTGTTCGCTCAGCTAAAATGAACTCAGATGTCAGCCACATCATATTTTTAATTTATAAAATCAGAACTGTCACCATATTTGTTTATGTTTGTTTCTACCATATGCAGGGCGATATTTTGTGACCATACCTTGCTGTATCTATTCCCAGGGCCGTCATAGTTTGCGTGCCACCACGCTGGCGTATTCTTGTGGCTGCAGCCATCACATCTTCTGTTGTTGAGTATGTGTTCAGGAAAAATTCATGGACTACAGTCTGTCCATACTGAACAATTCCAACCTGAAACACATATAGTTCACATTAAAAATCAACTACCCTTAAAGAAAGCACCTGCGTCTCCTACAGTGGGGTAAATGCCCATCTGTACCTACAGCCAGGAAAAGAATTGAACTCTCGTGTTTCTCTCAGTATGAAACACCTATAAGCATTTGAGCAAGACTGGCTGAAAGACATTCAACCTCTTGAAACATTTTGACGTTTCTAAATTGTTTTATATTAAAAATAGGAACAAAATCAAAAGCAGGCTCAATCTTCGTGACTTGTGCTAATCTGTGCCACAGCTCTGCTCTCCCCTCAGCCAAGGCAGACCAATGCTCCAACCACCAGCCACAACTTCTCCAAATAGTTTTCCTTATAGCGTACGGGGACATCCTTCACTCGCAACTCTCTTCATTCCACCCAAATATAGCATTCCTACATCTGACAGTTTATTTACCCTAAACCTAGCCTAGAAACAGCACTGCAATGACAAATTTAGGCTCTCAGGGTGTGAGGAAGACCCAAATACCCTTATTTTGACGAAGACAGCAGGGCAGACCCGGACATGGCCGTTTTCCCAGAAGAAGGTAAGCCAAAGTAAGACACCTAACAAGTGCCAGAGAGGACAACATTAATAAAATGGTGGCTTCTGGAATAGGAGAAGGATGACTGAAAGACTCTAGATTATCTCAGCAAGACAAGTCTTTGTGCAAAAGGTCAACGTATGGGATTGGAACCCAGCCACAAATGCCTGAGGGAGCCTGCTGCAAAAATAAGTGTGAAACAAAAAGATGAGCAATATTCTTAAATATAAATTAAATTATCTCATTCATCTCTGTCAGTTTTTGGCAGTTTCCTGACAGCTTTTACTGGGAAGATTCCACACAATGGTCCATTAGCATATTTCAATTTTGTGTTATACATAGCAATTTATAGCTGTTATTTAGTATAATGTAGTATTACATGGCATATTTATGTCTCACTCATCTATTATTAAAAGCACTATAGCATTTAGGTTCTGAAGATCAATAAGATCTCTGAGTTGTTTATGCCATCATATTATTTCAGAAGTGGTTCTGTATATCCTTTGCAATTGCTTTATAGGTGGTTTTTGAGGTATTTTCATAGCCTCTCAGATTCTGCACAATGTTTCTTTGTTTGTAGTAGAAGTGTTAGAATTGGATAAATATTTGATACTAAACATCAGTAGCAAGATCATTATGAAAAGCTAGTTACATACTATTATAAGACTATAGTTACAATGGTGTGTGGTAGCAAAATCTATCCCACTGAATTTCTGTATCCCTTTGAAAATACAATCAAATCTGGAAGAACTGATGTAAATTCAAAGTCATGACAAGTTGTTCTCTTTTAAGATATTTTAATTCCCTCTCAAAAGTATAGAATCATAGAACAGAATAGAAACATAGAATAGTTTGAGTTGTAAGGGACCATGGAGGTCATTTAGCCCAACCCCCCTGCAGTAAGCAGGGACATCTTCCGCTAGATCACGTTGCCCAGAGCCCCATCCAGCCTGACCTTGAATCTTTCCAGGGATGGGGCACCTACCACCTCCCTGGGCAACCTGTTCCAGTGTTTCACCATGCTCACAGTAAAAAATTTCTTCCTTATGTCTAGTCTAAACCTCTCCTCTTTCAGTTTAAAACCATTACCTTGTCCCATTGCTACAAGCCCTTTAAAAAAGTTTATCCCCACCTTTCTTATAAGCTCCCTTTAGTTACTGAAAGGCCACAATCAGGTCTCCTTGGAGTCTTCTCCAGGCTGAACAATGCCAGCTCTCTCAGCCTCTCCTCACAGGGGAGGTGTTCCAGGCCTTTGGTCATTTTCATGGCCCCCCTCTGGACTCGCTCCAACACCTCCAGGTCCTTCCTGTGCTGAGGACTCCAGAGCTGGATGCAGTACTCCAGGTGTGGACTAACAAGAGCAGAGTAGAGGGGAAGAATCACCTCCCTTAACCTGCTGGTCACGCTTCTTTTGATGCAGCCCAGGATACCATTGGCTTTCTGGGCATGCTGTCCTCCACCTACAGCTGAGCATCCAGAGGCTGCATGTTCTCGTGGGCAGCAGCTTATTAATCCTGCACAGTGTTTACTCAACCGGCTGGGGCACAAGCTGTATTACTTGAGCAGTCACTTGGCATCAGCTGAACCCCAAGCTGAAGGTTAAATTTTTAACCCATTCCCTCCAAGCCAACTATTTTGTGGCATGCATCTAAAGTGACATACAGCATAATCTGAACAGGATGCTGCTAGTCATTTAAAAAGACTGCTATTAACTGGTGATAAACAAGAGGTTTTCATCATGTTTGGTCTTTTGGAGCAGGAGGACCTCAAGTATTCCAGCATCATGCACAAGTACAGCCAGAGACTATTGTACACCAGGGAGCTCACCACTGTGGATTCACAGGCTCCTTATCTGCAGCTTTGAGGATTTTAGTGGTACCAAAGATTAAACTAACTATTCACTGCTGCCTGGGTGAAAAGTACCTGCCAGTCTTTCATGATGCTAGAGACACATGTTGGTGGTGTTGTTTTCTTGAAAAAGATTACAGGCTGACAATGAGTTTTATCATTTCCTATTTGAAAGGAAGCGCTGTCCATGATCACAGCAAGTAAACATTTTGAGCATTTCCTTCTCAGGAAGTGAATGGGAAGAACATCTGAGTCTGGAAAACTGAACTGTGTTGCATAGCTTGTAAATCAGGAAGGAAGGGGGGCATGTGGTTATCTTATGGGATACAATCGTTCTGCAGGACCCTTCCTTAGCAGTAGCTTTGAAAACACTGATCATCATGTTCTACATACTTCATGGCATTGAAGATGAGCTATTCCTCAAAAAAGGGTAACAAAAAGTTTCCCAGAACTGACAAAATACTACTAGGCTGCATGTTCCAGTCTCCTACAGGATCACAGAATCAAGTCCACCTTGTAAAATTAGAATTATGTTCTATTTTAGACAGATCAGATAGCAATGAAGGTTTGAGATTTTGCAGTCCTTTAATCTAATGTAAAATTATAAATGGCACATCTACATGATGCAAATGTGCCTTTATAGGACAATAAGCCTGATCAAACTGTGTAACTTCAGCAAGTCCCTAAGAATGATGCTTACAGGCATTGTATGTTTTGATTTGCTTGTTTAATTTAAATCTGGAAAATGCAGTAAGACTACACAGAAGGATGTAATTGTGCTCCACTCCAGAAAACCTAATAGTTTTCCCAGCATTACTGACCATAATCTATTGAACATCTTTGTAATTCCTAAGTTTATGTTCCCGTCCCTAGCGTTCCATGGCTGTTATATTACACAAGGGAATAATTCTTTAATTGTCCCCAGCTCCTGTGAAAAAGTGTTGTATGAGAGAACAAGCAAGTGAAGTACTGTTCTGCTTTGGGACAAAACATTTCTGAGGGCAATCATTTATTGTTGTTCCATAAGTGAACACAGCCCTTATGAAAATACATTCTGGCTTTCCCAATAAATTATTAAGCTAATCTATTTGGTAAAACCTGACAACATCAGAAAAACAAAAATGAAAGGAAAACCATTTCTTACATGGAGCTGGTCTGCTAGAATTTTCACCACTGGGATGTGAAGGAAAACCAGAAATATTTTTTGTTGTATTTAATCATATTTAATGTAACAGAAAAGCCGAGATGCTTTGGGAAGCACTAATGGATAATACATTTTATCATATGGTGAGCTTGCTAAAGATACCTGAATCAAAGAAAAATTGAATTAATGCTGCTAGATTTTGTTTGCTCGCAGGGACTCAGGCAAAAATTACTTGTAAATTATCACAAAGATCATTCTTCATCCTGAATCTTTTTAATACCTCCTTAATACACTTCTGTTCTTCTGGAGACAAAACTGATCATAAGATACGACATGGCATGACTTACTTGTCCGTTGATATAGTCCCTTTGGAGATATAATTAGGTACAGGCCAAATACCTGTAACTGCTTATGTAATATATCAATGGAGAAATAAAACCTATCTGAAAATTTCTGAAGGCCATTCCAACATAGCTTTAAAGCTGGAATTGAACATAAAGTATTCTGCTTTCTCTTTTGATATTCTTTTACCACAGAAGGTTGCTTATATGTAAAGGATTAAAAAACACACCCTCATATTAAAAAGACAATTATCTCTACAAAAGCTAAAAAAGAGAAAAGAACTATCTTGCTTTGCAGTTGCATTGAAACGTGGAATAAGGCTGGGAGAAATATTTTTTTCCTACTTGTACCATTCTTTCTCATTTAATTCCTTCTTTCTTTTTCACTTTTCTGTCATCACTTTCCCTTAATTTCTTCTGTCCCTAAGTGCAGATATTCAGCTTAACCATCAGTATGTTGCTGTGGATTTTATGGAGGACGGAAAGAGGAAGAGAAGGAAATACTTATGAAATAGTTATACCATACACTTTGGCTTTTTGCATCTGAATCCTCTGGCTTTCACTTTCAAATTTGCCAAACATGGGACACTGAGGAATTGCTCTTCTGACTTGCCATAAATCTAATGTCCATTGTTCATAGAAGGGGTAAGTGGAAAAAAAAAATCTCGCAAACTTCTAATCAAAACACAGTCTTGAACAAGGCACACCCAAGCTGCTAAGGAGTTATTCTGCAATCGCCTCATTCCTTTCCCGTGCAAGAGGAAAACAACCTGAAGTGAGTGAAAGTCCACTGATTTCTACATGCTTGACAATCCCCAAAAGATGAACATGGAAAAATCAATTTAAATAGACAGCAAGTAAACAGTTGTTCCTGTATTTCTATTCTGTGCTCACAGAGGAGAGGGGAGAAAAAAGCCTGCTCTGTCATTTCTCCTCTTTCCCATTCAATAGTAATTTAAACACAGTTTCTGAGAAAGGAGACAGTGTGGGTGGAGGAGGCGGTATAAACCCGTTACTACCTTTGGCTGTGCCAGGGTTCCCGAGCAGGGGACTCAGAGGAGAGAACAGAGACAGGATATATCCTGGGAGTGGCGGGGGGGAGAGGTAAGAGGAACGGAGAAAATTCAGCCTAGCTTTGCCTTTTGTTTCAAGTTTTTCAGCCTCTCTCGCCCTTATCCCATTCTTATCTCCCTCTCAAATGTTTCTGCTCTCCAGCAATCAGATGCCAAAGCTGACGTTCTCAAGTGAATATGCGTACGTGTGAGAAGAGGGGTAGCTATGCCAAACTGTGGGTAGAACGGATTTTGTAGGTGGAGATGGCGGATTGCTGGAGTGCAGGTCAGCAAAGGGACCTTTTGTGTGCGAGTGGAGTCACACAGACGAGGCACAATTCCAAAAACAAACATAACAGAGGTGTGGCAATGTAAAAATTTAGGAATTTCAGGGTGAGGAAGAGGGGTGAGCGTAGAGTTGATTGTCCTGTGTACTATTCCCATAAAGTCCTTTGGGCAGAAGGCAGTGATGATTTCCACGCAGCCATTGCCCCAAACTGGGAAGTTCAGCTTTAAGTATTTTCCCAAGATGCCACATGTTTGAGTAATCACCAGCTTAAGGGACCTGGAAGATTTTTTTTTTTTCCTTTCTGTTAACTTTGACAAAGTGTTTTTCCTTCTTCCTTAGAATATCTGGAAGAATTGTATGTTTAAAATAACAGGACACGATTGTAAAGTTGACAGCATGTTAGTAATAATTTTATCAGCCACTCTTCAGTACATTCAATAGGGGAGTTGGGCAATAACTCACAAACCCCAATTTACTTGGATGATGACTCTCTGCAGACACAGAGAGCCACCTTTGCACAGTCTCCTTTTGTGAAGGCAGGAGCAGAATTTTAGGAGCTAACCTGAAGTAACAAAAATGCTAAGTGTTGGCCTGCAACATATCAAATATTGTACAGGATCCCAGAAAATCCTTTATTTTGGGAAGGGGAAGAGGAAAAAGTGAAAGGAAGAACTGGTTTCTTCTGTTGCTGTTAAAAAAGATTTCTGCATTAAAATGTATCCCAGCGTCCATGTTTCCCCCTTCCCCAAGTTCTGCTGGAATTGCTACTTACTCTGTTCAGCAGACTGTGAAACATATTTCAAGTCCTCAGCTGGGGTAATTGGTTGTAGCTCCAGTAATTCTGGTGGAACTGCACTGATTTATACCAGCTGGGAATCTGGCCCTCTCCACCTCTTATATAAATGCAGCTTTTGCCATTAATAACATGTGGCTTAACAGCCACTCGTTAATTATGATTTCAAATGTTTAAAAGCTATATGCTCGATGCTCCACAGTACAAAATACTTAATGTTTCTCCAAAAGCTTATAATCAAAGGCTGTCTGAACCACGCATGTGTGCCTTGGAGGAGCAGAAATGACCTTTCTGCTATCAAGTATAAAAGACAACAAGAAGTGGTTGTGCAGAGGAGGGAAGTGGGAAAAGACAACGTTCAAACGGCCTCACCTAGTGCACTCAGCTTTTGTCTCTAGGTTAGAAAGTCGGTTTCTCCAGAGTGCCTGAGTGGTGGGGGGAGGGAAAGCCTCCCTGACATCGCTACTTGGCAGCAGACACTGACTTAGTTGTGGTTTCAGCTATTTTGTTTTAGTACCCCATTGCTGTTAAGTTCTTGTAATTGGAGAGCTCCGTAGATGATGGTCTCATTCCATTTCCTGTAAATCCTTGTTCTCCTGGCAAATTAAACAATCATAAAGTATCTACCATGTTACCTGTGTTTGCTGAGGACCTATATCCATGTTTTTCAGGAGGCTGTTTAGGAAGGCTGTGACACTCTCCCATGGATAAATGCTGTTGGACCCATCGAGGACTATGACAATGTCCAACTGGGTTTTACACTCTGCAACACAAATTGCCACATAAGAATTGATTCTAACAGGGAACAAATGTATCTCACAGCTCTGGTTACTTGTGATTAGTAGCAAATGCGTATCCTTCCGCACTGGGGCTGAACTTGCATGTTCAATACCAACTGTCACCTATGAACTTTTGCATCATATTTACAAGGCTTATGTTCCCTTTATCAGCAAGACACTTTCTTGTAAGCAGAATTTGAAGAATGGGATTAAAAGGCTGCATAACTGCAGCATTTACTAGTGATCCCTACCTTCTTCAATGTCAATCTGTTCCTCTTTGATTTTTCCAAAGGACCAGGTCTTTAAGGTTTTTATCTATGTTACTAAATTGGGTTTGTATTAAGTATTACCATGTCGTCATTATTTAAAAAGAGTCTTTTGGCCATAAGTAAAAAACATAAGCAACTATTTTTAGTAATTGTGTTTGGATGTTACATAGCACTCTAATGATTGTTTATACTGAGATAAATTCCAAAAGTAGCAAGAATTTAGGTTATATACGGACAATGAAAACATTTACTTAACTTGGTAATGCTGGTAGCTAAGTTAGGCAGTTCATACTTTTTGGTATCCCTATGTGTATACATTTGTCTTGTTTGGCACTTTTCCTGTGGCATGCATACCTTGCACAGATGGAGCAATTGCCTCAATGGTTTCAAAAGTGGAGCTGACATTAGAGCAAACTCCAGTTGTGTAATGCAGACGCCCACATTTATAAGCATAAAGTGGTCCACATGCCTTTAAAAGATGAAAAAGGGTGAAATGTTATTGTTATGGTACCTGAGGAAAAACCGGACTCCTTTTAAAACTGGCAAAAAGTTCTTTCTTACCAGAAAGCCTCCTTTTGGGTTAGTCACTAAGGTTGTTCCAAGAGTCATGTTTTCCTTTACTTCCACGACATTAGGAACTGAAGTAGAAGCTATAAATAGATTAAAATGTTAAGTATTTGGGAACAAGAAAACAAAACGTTAAAGTATATATCCCCTAGCATGGAGGTTCCAGCTTCAAAAATAAAACCCAGACTGACACTGGTTTCATCAAATATTTTAGCACCCTTCCTCCTCCTTCTTCAGCTGCAACAATCAACAAAAATTCTGAGACTGGCTTTTTTCCCAGAAAATTTGTCTGGGTTGCTGTCTAAAACAGTTTTCTTGAACCATAAAAAAGAAAAAAAAAAAAAAAACCCAGCACAATGAAAGCAAGAGATTGCTGTTCACACAGTTTTGCTAATTAGAAAACAAACATTCATTTTTTACCCTATCCTGCTATAAATTGCTTATTAGCTTTTATATTTGTCACTGTTATATTACTGACAGGTATTTTGACATTATTTATATTGACATTAAATACACCAATCATCACATTTTTAACTGAAATTCATATTAACAGAAAGTCTCTTCTTGTCTATATCACATATCTCTTCACATGAAAAAGTTAATATGTAACTGTATCATAAGATGCATCAGCCTGGTTATGGCCAGTTATGTTCTCATCAAAAGCTTACTGACATAATTATGAAGGCTCTTGTTGGCTTTAGAGAGCTTTGGAAAGGGTAATCCCTGAATCTATGCTCCATGGCCTTTCTGGCTCCATGGCCAGGACTGCCAACCACACTCAATTAATGCCAGTCATAAAGTTTTGATAACACAGCCAGGTGCCCATTCTAAAATCATGAGCATGTTTTCCATAGTATTATGAGAAGCTTTAAAATAAAATTGTTTTTGATGTTACAACTTCCTTCACATTTAGCTCGCATCCTAACTAAATTTTCTCTACAGAAACAATTCTAATGCATATTTACTAGGTAAAAATCTCCTAAGATCTGATCTCTATCATTCCTCCATGTGACACAGCTTCATTTTCTTTCATACCTGGTAAATTCAGTTTTATGCAGGGCGATTGGCTGTCCCTTCCTACAGGGCATTTGTATACATCTCCTGTTCTTTTCTCAGGTTGGCCAACCAGTGGTGAACCAATAAGTACCCTGCAAATGAAATAAGTTACTTGAAATTTCTTCTTTCTTAAAAGGCATGAAAGCCAGCAAATAAAACTTACCAAAAGAGCACAGCTGCAGCAAGCTCTGTACAAAGAGTACAGAATGGACAGCAAGAAAAGCATCTGTTATGGTACTTCAGATACTAGCAAAAGTAGCCATTCTGTCTCCTCTTCAACAGGGACACAGAAAGGAAATGTGCCTATATACCACATTACACTATAGAATATAATTTAAAAATATTCCAGTGGAAAATAAAAAAAAAAATACTGGTGGGTGGATGACAAGTATTAAAAGTAATATAGAAGAAAATATCTGTTTTATATAATATTTCCTTGATTTTTAACGTATTTTGGAAGAAAATGTATTTTCAATGCTGAGAGACCAAATGCCAAAGGACAGGCTCAAAGGCACCCAGAATAATTCAGTCTTAAGAAATGAGAGACAGAAGCATAAAATACATCATTTTCCCTCTCATTAATAAAAAATAATGCTATTAAAAGAGTCATTAAAAGAAATGTCAGGATTTTAAAATGTTAAAGATTTCTATCCTGTGCATTTTTTTTTCAAAATTTGGTATGATTACAAATCACTCTTCTCAATAGTACTTTGTAAGCACCACAATTCAGCATTGACTCCTAAATTCAGAAAAAAGGAAACACCGTTTAGAGATGGACACTGTATTTGTTCTCAGATCTTCATTAGCTACATTAAATAGGCCAGCATTAAGCAGCAGACAATAAGTGGCTCCATTAACTGTTTAAGGAAGAACTTGGATTAAATTAGAATTCACAGCACACACTTGAAACAGAAATCCTGGCATTAAGAATAATAGTTGAGCAAGATTTGCTCCTGGGCACTTAGATGATTCTGAAGAGTTATTGAGAAAACCATTTCAGCCCTTAATCATAAATTAATGAGTCCAGGCAGAAGATATTCAAATAGAAGGACATAACAGGTAAAATGTAGCCTATGGATTTAAAAAAGATAGAAAGGAGAATTTAAATCCACTACACAACCCAGTGTATAAAAAAAACATACTGGAAAATCTCATTGTGATCCATTAAGATTTTTTCATTAATAATAAATTAATTCTAAAGCAAAATAAAATACTCCAAGTATATACTGGATACGACTGCTCTTTCAAGCTATATGCTGTAATGTATGTAGTCTTTACACCAAAACTTATAAACAGGCACCACAGCCTATGATGCATTCTTGACTCCCGTTTAACTGCAGAGAAGCTGTGTGTGCTTGATGTCCCATGAGAGGTGACCGGTGCTCAGCAGGATCATGTCCCCATGATGTTCTTTTCTCAGAAAAAACGAGCCCCATGAACAGAGAGGAGTGGTCTGAAAGGCTATTTTGTCTTTTTGCACAGGAGACTTTTTTAGGAGGCCTCTGTTTTATGGAGAAACAACTTCAGTCAGGCTTAGAGAACACTGGTTGCTGAAAAGCTCTATCTGTGGTATCTAGGTAGCGTCATAGTAGTTGACAAAGCATCACAAGACTGCTTTGTATATTTAACTGTCAACCTACAGATTTCCTGTTCTGGATGTTGCTATGCTGAAAGCAACTTGAAAGCTTGACAACTTAACAAAAAAGCTCTGCAGTTTCATTTCAGAAATGTTCAGGTCTAACACACTAGTTTAGATTCCCGTCTTCCTTCAGCTACTGGAAGAGTCGCCATTTCCAGCTCATATTATTTTTTGCTCTTGAAAGTTTTCAGGACAGTTTACAGTATAGCTTACTTTGCAAAATCCCAGCTCCTAGAACGGATACTATTTCCTGAAGGTCTAAATTAGCTCAAAGATAATTATAATTCTCCCATGACCCTCATGCAGATGATTAAGGGAATGGAGCATCTTCCTTATGAGGAAAGGCTGAGGGAGCTGGGTCTCTTTAGCCTGGAAAAGAGGAGACTGAGGGGTGACCTAATCAATGTTTATAAATATGTAAAGGGTGAGTGTCAGGAGGATGGAGCCAGGCTCTTCTCTGTGACATCCAGTGATAGGACAAGGGGCAACGGGTTCAAGCTGGAACATAGGACGTTCCACCTGAATATGAGAAAAAACTTCTTCACGGTGAAGGTGACAGAGCACTGGAACAGGCTGCCCAGAGAGGTTGTGGAGTCTCCTTCTCTGGAGACATTCAAAGCCCGCCTGGATGCATTCCTGTGTGATCTGATCTAGGTGTTCCTGCTCCGGCAGGGGGATTGGACTAGATGGTCTTTCGAGGTCCCTTCCAATCTCTAACATTCTGTGATTCTGTGATATATATTCAAACATCTTCCAACCTGGACAATCAAGAGCTAGCATTTTCAACAGCAGGGTCTGCAATTTAATTTCTGTGAACATCCCCTATTGCTAATGGTGAACACTGTGTTCCACTGGTGGAAAGACTCTCGGAGTCAGACAGCTCCAGCACTTGCGGAGGAGATTCCTCGGGCACTGCAGAACAGTCTGACCTGGTTGTCACGCAGCCACATGCCTGTCATCCCAGGCTGCCCGTGGAAGTCCCTGGCTTTACCAGGAACGTCAAATTACTGGCAAAGCTCTAGGAAAACCAGAGCAATCTGCAAAGAATAATGGAGATCTCAGGATTCTCGAACCTTTTACCACACAATTTTTATTTCAGTCCTCCAGCCCTCTTTAGCCTGCGGAGTTGTTTTTTACAAGGGAAAAAGCATAAGCAGGTGTTTATCAAGAGACCAAGGAGTGATGATACCAGTAAGCACACCAAAATGAAACTGATAATTCAGGAGAACAACAAGAAGGAAAAGTCAGGTTAAGCAGAAGGCTCCAAGTCCCAAGTGCAAATATATTACCAATTGCAAGACATAATTAGCTCTCCAAAAGGGAAGGTGGAGTACTGTATTAATAAATATTTTAACAGGGAAATCTCACTACCAGTTAAAAAATCAGTTCAGACAATCTGACAGAAAACTTTAGAAAAAAAGACATAATACTGATTAGTTAGGTAAAAAAGGAGCATTTTCACTGCCAATACATTAACACAAGGAAAAGATAAATAATGATTTTATTTGATAATTGTAAAAAAGAGGGTTCAGGCATAACACAAAACTTTCTCAGCTCCATCAATAAGGGAATTTACCCACTTTGTGAACTCACTTATGTCTTTGAGGAAATAAATGCAGGTGTAAATTTGGACCTTTCAGTCTCCCAGTCTTTCCAGGTTTCCTTAGGACTGTGCGTTAGTTTAAGAAATGTGACTGACAGAATTGGACCCTTACGTATCGCACATACAAATAATAGTATAGAACCTGAATCGTGGAATAGCTGATAATTTGGAGTTTCCATTTAAGAAAAGAAAAACAGCTTACCATTTTCCTTCCTCATTTTCATACTGTTGGACTGTGTACCCAAACATGTCTTCCAGAGGCCCACTGAAGGTCATTGCATTTTTCACATCAACATTGGAACAGTCAACGAGGTGAAAGAGAGCTTTAAAGAAAAAAGTAATATGTAGCAATACACATATAACCCAAGACTTTTAAGAAACCAAGGTTCAATTATGCCTTAAGTGAGGGTACAAGACGGGTTGAAAGTGGCATTTTTATCACAGCTGGTAAGACATTTAAAACATACTTCCTCACACATACATATGCAGCTAAATTCAGAGATGTAGGTAACTGGACTTCTGTATCCAAAATCTACTTTGCAAAGTCCATCACTCATTTCTAAATCACAATTCAAGTAATAAGTAAAATATTATTACCTTTAATAGTAAATAAAATAACTTTTGTGTTACTTTTACTCCTTTTATCTCCATGCATTTCTATGGTATGAATTTTACATAAAATGTTCCTTCCTTCATTCAAGGTAGAGGTTCTCAAGCTTTCATAAATTTGAGAACTAAGTGATTTTCAACTGTTTGCAGAAGACATGCATAGGAAAAGAACAAGGAAAAGCTTTCAGATGTATGTAGTTTTAATCTATATTAGAGAAAAAAGGCATATGATTTTCTCTTAATTCTTTTCTAGAGTACCTGCAAACCTTTTATATTTGGAAAAGAACAGAATTAATTTTTTAATGTGATCAGATGCTGTCATGTCAAAAGTAATTTCAAAACCTGTATGTGACTACTTGCAGAAATCCAACATTTACTCACTTAGGGAAAGTTGCCCTACAACAGTGGTGTTGGACTATGATGAGATCAGTCATGAGAGCACATGCTTCTTCAGACTGATTTCCCACACCCTAAAGCTACTGTAAAAATATGACTGTGCAGTAAATGATCTCTTCCATCTTTGTCCTGTTGAAGTCAATTTCAAAAGTAACCACTGACTGCTGCTGCAGAGCTCTGTGCTTCATTCACAAGAGCCAAATATTAGTCGAATTTGCAGAAAATCAATACTACTTAAAACATAATTATATGCAACTTTCATTTCATTTCAAAGAAGCATTTCATGACCATTAGCTGACATTTAAGTTGCATAAAAATACCCAAATCCATAATACTTGCTGCACGTCAAAGCATCTAAATAACATCCAGTTAAAATACATCTGTTATTCATCCTAGAGATGATGATATTCTCATATAAAGCTTGTTACTGAGCTCCCAAGTGGTCAATGCTAATCTGTCTCTCTCAGCATCTTATTTCCTGGTTAATGCAGTAGCTATCACAGAAGACTATTTATCACTTAGTAGGTATTTCCAGTTTCACTGGACAGCAAAAAAGGAAAAGCTTCATTTGTGTTATTTCAGTTTTTCTTCCTCCAGTCAGAGTCAGGAAATATAAAGAAGTGAACAACCTAAAACCGAGTTTATTTTTATTCTTCAGAAAAGATTCATTGCAAGTGATAAGAAAAAATTCATGGCTTACAGTCTGATGGGAAATAATTTGCTGGAAAAGTAGCCCATGCATCTTTTTTCTTCCTTAAAAATTTATGTTTAAAGAAATTCTACTACACCTGTTCATGTGCAATAGGTGTTTTCCTCTCCTACTCTCAGTCTTCAAAGTGTAGCTAAAACCAACAAAATCAGTCTTTAAAAATTCAGTCAAGTTATCACGATTTCAAATATTCTTTTGTTAAATTTCAGAGTAAAAATTATTGCTGTTATTATTTTTGACACCATGTGTGGGATTCAGACCACATCATTTAGACTCCCAATCTACCTCCTAGACAATGAAAAGGTTCTAATGAGATTGCCTGCTAAAGTAAGGGTCTTAGTTCATTTAGTTGAAGAAGAACGGTAGATGTAAAATCTATCCATGTCAATTTGCCTCTTAAAGATTTACAGAAGTCTGTTCACTTTCACCCCTCAATAAGATGGACAGAACATCCCTCAGAGGTATGTTTTTCCCGCTCTCTCACCTTATGATGATATTTAAAATATATTGTGATATGAAATATTAAAGGCCACAGATTCCAGCTCAGGTCTTCTAATTACCTTCTCCTAAAGCTACTGAAGGTTACATGTGCACTCTGTGCTCTGTACACTCCATTAAAATATCCTCCATCATCTTTATAACCTCCGCTGATAGACAAGGAACTTCTTCACTATGACGCAGTACTGACAACTATTGTGATTTTTACTGGGTATTCACTATACTAAGTAGTCTTGAAGTTTCCTGAATCGGTTATGTGATACACTCAAATGCCATAATTTTAACAAATTCACTTCTAATCTCCATAGCTATAACAGAAAGTTTGAAAATGTGGAATGCTAAAGCAAGCAAACTAGAAGAGGAATAAAAAATGTCAGCTATTTGCAACTAACCCTCCAAATCCTTGTGCTTCTGAGTGAGGTCAAATTAGAAACAGCAGTAAGTGTTATAAAAAATAAAGCTAGAGGAATTGAAAGAAGCTAGATGGGCCAGACTTGTCAGAAATAAAAAGGAGGTGACTCTACACAGCATGGAACAGACCCGTAGACCTTGTTGACAAAGGATGTTTTGGATGCTAAATATGTATTTAACGGGTAACTGAATAAGTTATTGAAAGACAAAACCACTGCAGGTTACAAACCATACAGAACACACACCTGGTTCAGGAAATCCCTTCATCTGGAAATATTTTGAAACTGGAAGAGGAATATTATATATGCTTGCTCAGTTATTTTTTGTCTCTAGCTATCGGCTTACATGTACTCTTGCAGACGTGATACTGGACAAAACACGGTCTTGAGCTGATCCAGTATGTCTGTCCTTTTGCTCTCATCTTCCTGTTCCACCTTACCCAGAAATCAGATGCTTTGAAGTTTGACTGTGTGGCATATTTTAATATGCAAAGGTATTACACGACCTTCTGTGGCTTCCAGGTGCTATGACACATCATGAGCATAATGTTTTCAAATAAAAGTAAGGTTCATGATAAGCAGTGTAAAATTAAATTGAAAATAATAAACAGATTTAAAGGTTTCTTATTACATTGTCCACATATTCTGTAAAAGGAAATCTTACTAGTCAAAGATACATTCAAATCTGCAGGTGGTAAGTAGAAAAGTGGAATTTACAGTGACCAACATTTCACTGTTAACTAACAATAATCTGCTGACTCATGGCAACCTGGCTTTCACATTTTGTTTCATTTTTCAGTACAAAGAACATCATACACATGAGCTGATATTCAGAACATTTAAAAATATCACTGACTGTGACTGTGTATATTAATAACAATAGCTAGCTTGCACTCTTCCAAACTTCTAGTTTCTGTTTAAGATGCACACATGCTCATCTGTTTCTAGCAAACGTGTATATGAATTAAAAAGACTATTGGCAGAAGCAGTGGAAAAAGAAGAGCTACAGGGAAGATGGAAAGGATTCTTTTGAAAGTTATGGGGATTAAGGAGAAAAAAAAAGACATTTTTTGTAAGGAACGTAGTATTTAACTCTATACTTAATCACAATTAATGCAGGTAAATTAAAATAAGATTTTGAATTATTTCATGTTGTGGCAACAGAATGACCAAAAATTCAGATCAAAGAACTAATCAGAAAAGCAGAATATAAATGTTTATCAAAGGATAAAACTGAATTTCCAGTTTTTAACTTCATGTTCTGAAAGAAATGAGGCACTGTAGAAAACCTGGGACAACGTCCTTCTCACTACCAGTTTAAACTGAGGTGAACACTAGTTGATGCTTGTGGCATTCTTTGCTGAGCACAGTTTGTACCTATACGGGAAAGGTTAACACTTAGTCACCAAGACAACAACCCAAATATTATTTCTATTACAAACCTAGAGTAGTAGCTCATACTTGTCCAGTAGCCACTAATAATTTTTTTTCTGTTTTATTTAAAGATGTCATTAAATCTTTTAACCAAACGTTAGTGCTGCCTGCCTGGTTATTCTGCCTCTAAACCGTGCAAAACTAGATTTCGTTGGCACTTGTCCACATACATACTGCCTGGCCACTCTAACTTTTGCAAACAAAGAACAGCAGAATAGGCACCCTTGTTTTACTAGAACAGATGGCTATAAACATAACCCGAACCGCAGAACAAAACCTAACACCTGGCTTGTTTCTGTTGAAAAACAGATCACCACAAATCACCCACAATAAATGACATCCTGAAGACTCATTTAGCTAAGAGAAGAGGGAAAATTCAGTTAGGATATTTTATCTGTGTATGATCTGTAGCAAATAACAGTTGCATCCTCTATAAATGGTGTTTATTCTGAGAAACACAAATGTTTTTTCCAAAAATGGGAAAGGACAAATTTGCACTTTGCATTGAACAGGGCTTACACACTGGCCGCACACTACTTCTCCCCGCCAGCCTGTGGTCAAAGTGTGATTTCTGTTCTATTTCATACTGCTCTAGCATTTTAGGCGTCCTTAGTAATTCCTCTGTATTTTGCGAGAAGAGACTGAAACAAAGGAGGTCTAAGCAAATCAAGGAGGACAACAAACCATCCAGAAACGCCTTGTAAAACTATGCACAACTAGAAAATATTGGGAAACTCAAAAAAAGTTACTAGCAGAAAAAAAAAAAAAAAACCCAGACTGCTTCCATTCTGGAAAATGACAGAGGAGAGGGAAATTTAAGATGAAGATTAAAATAAGATTAAAATTATTTATGGAGTTCTCATATACCTGAACCTCTTGTAAAAATAATTAAAAAACCAACCAAACTTCTTTAGTATATTATACAGCACATATTACAACCCATGATGCTGGAAGGATACTTTAAAGACCTGCAAACACAGGCATGTGATACAGCAACACAGAACAGTGCATCTGATCAAAATGTACAGAAAGGTGATATTAGGCCAATCTGGTGGCCTTGTATGATGGAGCGACAGCATCAGTGGACAAAGGAAGGGCAACGGATGTAATCTATCTGGACTTGGGCAAAGCCTTTGACATGGTCCCTCGCCACATCCTTTTCTCTAAATTGGTGAGGTGTGGATTTGAACAATGGACTGTTCATTCATTCAAAGAATTGGTTGGCTGGTCACAGCCAAAACATTGTGGTCAACACCTCTATGTCTGGGTGGAGGCCAGTCACAACTGGTGAC